CGCCCCGCCGCTTGCCGGGGCCCGGCCTGCCGGGAAGAAAGGTATACCCCCCAAAAGGGGCTCGATCGAAGACGAAGAGGGCGGGTATCGAGGGTTTGGGAAATACGCCTTATTGGACACTCGAGCATGTAAGGGCGAACAGTCTTAAAATGATTGTTGTTGTTGTTGTTGTTGTTGTTGTTGTTGTTGTTGTTGTTGTTGAACATTATTTATTCTAAAGAATAATTATTGTTGGGCCCCCTGGTGCGCGCCCCCCCTGCGCCGCCTAGGCCGCAGCTACATTTTCATCATTTTCGTGAGGAAGCCTCAGAAAAGAGGGTGTGTACAGGATCCGGTTGTTTTGTTGTAATCCGCTTTCCCTTGCAAAAAACAATAGAAAATGACATTTCTTGTTCTAATATAATCAAATTTCAAGAATCCCTTGCAAAAAATAAGGTAAAGTGGACATTCGCGCGCGCAAGACGAAATCCTTCCAAAACCTTAGTGTTCGCAGCGATTTTAACATAAAAACATCAAAAAACCAATGGTTTTTCAACAAAAAATTGTCAAAATCTCATCCCGCGCGCTCTTGCGGATTCGTAGGAAACCCAACACTTTTTAAACATTTCTGTCAAACGGGCTTTTGCGAGCAACTTTTTCGAACTTCTGCGACAACGGTTGCGCACCTGCCAGGGCCATCATCCCTGTCAAATAATACCATGCGGGACACATTCGTTTTTTCTTCGCGCGCGCACGCCGTCGTCGTCGGCCGCGGGGCCCTGAATAGTAGCCACGGTCGTCCGCATGCCACGAAGTGAAGTGTCCGAACGTCATAGGGCGGGAAGCTGGGTGTGGGTGGTGGCGAAGAGTCGTTTGGAAATTTGGTAGAGCTTGAACCGGCCCCCCCACAAAGTGGGGGTATTGCCCGCCTCGTATGAAAACCCTGGCACTGGTGAGAACGGAGTGTCCCCACGTGCTAGTAATTGTTCTTGTTGTTGTTGTTGTTGTTCTTGTTGTTGGGGGTGGGTTGGGGACCCTGGGGCCCGGGGACGATTCCTGCCCCCCCCTGGTGGAGAGCGCCGGAGGAGCCCGAGCGCCGGGGCCCAGGGAAGGTCCCTGTCCTAATTGTTGTTGTTGTTGTTGTTGTTGTTGTTGTTGTTGTTGTTGTTGTTGTTGTTGTTGCTGTTGCTGTTGCTGTTGCTGTTGCTGTTGTTGTTGTTGTTGTTGTTGTTGTTGTTGTTGTTGTTGCTGGTGTCATTTAGGCCGAAGACGGCCCCGGTCAGCCCCAGGAGAGCCCAAGAGACCCCCAAGACGGCCCAAGAGGCTCCAAAGACGGCCTCACATACCTCCACGAGTGCCTCTGTGAGTCCCAAAAGCGCTGGAAGACGGCTCAAGGCCGCTCGAAGACGTCCCAAGAGAGGCCCCTGAGGGACCCGAGAGTTTCTCAAGAGAGTCCCACGAGGGCCACAGGATATCACCAAGAGGGCCCCAGAGGGCCAAAAGGGCCCAAGGACGGCCCAAGAGAGCCCCAAGACTGCCCAAAGAGCCCGGAAAGGACCCCCAGGAAGTCCCAGAAATGTAGCATCATTGGTTTTCGCACCAAAGCCTTGATACCAGGAGGGTTCCAAGACATCAAGCCAGCGACCTCACGAAAAGCACGCGCTTCTGGTGTGGGCGAAGCCCTTAAGGTGGGGGTTCCAGGGGGGGGGTAGGGGGGAACGGATAGGTTTAATGGCCGTTTTTGGCAGTTATCCATTTGTTTTTTTGCATGTTTTTCGGGTTTCCCCCCCAAGACGGCCCAAGAGCGCTCCAAGAGAGCCCAAGACCGCCCAAGACGCCCCAATAGGCCCCCAAGAGGCGCCCAAGAGGCGCCCAAGGGGCGTTCCAAGAGGGCCCCAAGAGGCCAAACTCATGCATTGTCCTTAGGAACACGTATTTTTTTAAGCATATACGGCTTTTCGGCTTTCACAGCGTTGACGACGGCCCAAGAGGCCCCCAAAACCGCCCAGAGACGGCCCAAGAGGCTCCCAAGAGGCCTCTGGGGCCCCAAGACGGTCCAAGAGACGTCCAAGGCGGCCCAAGAGGGCCCCAAGACGGCCCTAAGAGTGGGACCACGAACCGAAAAGTCTAGCCTTCCGCCCCAAGACGCTCCCAGGAGGCTCCAAGAGCCCCCCAAGAAGTCCCAAGAGGCCCCCAAGAGGCGTCCCAAGAGGCCACCAGGAGGCCCAAATCATTGATTTCCTATGGGAAAAAGGTACATTGTTAGCATACCAGGCTTTTCTGCTTTCACGGCGTTGAAGCCGGTCCCAGAGGCCCCAAAGACCGCCCCAAGACTTAAGACGGCCCAAGAGGCTCCCAAGAGGCCCAAGAGGGCGCCAAGACGGCCCAAGAGGTCTAGCCTTTCGCCCCAAGAAGCTCCCAGGAGGCCCCCAGAGCCCCCCAAGAAGCCCCAAGAGGCCCCCAAGTGGTTCCCAAGAGGCCTCCAAAAGGGCCCGAAAAGGGCCCCAATAGGACTCCCAAGAAGTCCCAGAGACGCCAAATAAAGAGCGATCGGTAACGCAAAACGCTCTTCACACCAAGGCTCCCAAGAGCGAACGGTGACGTAAACAAGCTGATCAGACCAAGGCTCCCAGCAGAGAGCGGTGACGTAACAAGTTCCTGACACCAAGGCCTAGCCAAGGCTCAGGAACGGGCGGCAACGCAACAATCTCTGAACACCAAGGCTCCCAAGAGCGAGGGGTGACGTAACAAGCTCTCAACATCAAGGCTCCCAGTACGAACGGTGGTGTGAGTAGTTTCGGTTTCTGTTTCTGAAGCGCTCTTTCCGTGTCTGTGCCGGGCCAGGTCTGGTGGCTCTCGGCCCATCCCGCCAGCGTGCCCGAATCTTGGATCAGAGCTCTCTCGGGGTCTCTCGGTGGGCCTCCTGGGTTGCTCCTCAAGGCCTCTGGGGGCTTCTCGGGGGCCTCGTGGGGTCTCCCGGGGTGCTGGCGGTCTCGGGGGTCCTCTTCGGGCGAGGGCCCGGGGAGGCCCCTCTGAGTTCCCCATTGTGTGCCCCTCTCGTGGGCCGTCTTGGGGCGCAAGGAAGGCTCTCAAGAACGCACAGCCGAGCTCGCTACAGTAGTACGAGCACCTGGCTCTTTTCAAGGATCTTGCCTGTGGGGCTGGCCCCTGGGAGCTCCAGGACGACACAAGAAGACCCCATGATTGTCCGAAGATGGTTCCCCCGGACCGTCTTGGGGCACGTGGCAAGTGTGGGCACCCAGCCACGCTCCCAATGTCCCCAGAACCGCCCTGCAGGGCATCCCTAAAGCGCGCGAGAGAGCGCCCTTGAGTTGAAGGTGTGGGGCCTTTCATTCGAGGGCCGTCCATTCGGTGCTTGGCGGCACGGCGGCGGATCTAAGCACAGACGCACACCATACTGAATGCACATGTGTATGAGCATGCACATTCACACACACACGCACACCTGCATCCTCGCACGCATACGCGTAAAGTCCACATCCATATGCGGATACAATTGCGCATATACGCGCACTTCCATCTGCAAGTAGGCATACCTGTACGCATGCAAACACGTACACGCTTCTAGTTAGGCTCATAGACGCATACATACGCCCATACCCGCCTACACACCTGCATGCGCATGCGCATGCACCCATACTTGGGCACGTGTACGTACGCATACACGTACACAAATTGTACAGGCGCACCCATATGCACACAAATCGCACACACCGGCACGCTTTTTGGCGTCACGGCTTCGCTCGCAGCGACAGGGCGTCCAAAATCGGAGGAGAGAGCGCGCGCGCGCGTGGCTGGCGGCCGAGCCCTCAAGCCGCTCAGAGCGAGCAGCGCCGCGGCCAGCCATAGGTTATCCGGGCTTGGATGAATGGGGGGCAGACGAGGTACGCAGAGCCAGCTGGCAAGGAAACGGCATGCCAGGATGGCGAAAGGGGGGCACAGCAGAAGGCTGCAGCGACGCCAAGGCCAGACGACTGGCAGAAGGGCAGGACAGGGCGCAAGGGGCCGAAGGCCAGCAGCGGCGGCGAGGACACCGCAGAGGCTGCACCACAGGTGATGCAGCGCCAGCAGGCCCGTAAGGTCGCCAGAAGTCGGCGAAGAACCAGCCAACGGGGGTGTGGCCGGCCCGAAAGCCCAACACGCACGGCCACACCCAAGAGCTGTGGAGGGGGCGGGCGTGCAGAGGACGACACGCGCGCACGCACTCACACTCACACGCCTTGGCGAACACATGTACGTACACATGCGCACATGGCCGTACACATAAACATGCACGCCACACCTACATTCTCCTGCTCATGTGCACGCTTTTTTTGTGGCGTCGCGGCCCTGACCCCATTTCACATCTCCGTTCTCACGCTCTCCTCCCTCTCCTCCCTCCCTCTTCTGTCTCCCTCCTTCCCTCCTCCTGCTCCTCCTCTCCTCCCTCGTCCTCCTCCCCCCACCTTTCCTAGCTCGCCACCTCCCGCGATCCACTTCGGAGGGAGGCCCTGGAGGTCCCCAGGTGTCTCCAGAGGGTCCTGGAGGTCTCGGGAGGCTGCGGAGGGTCTGGCCGCAAACACTCACAGCCTCGATCCCAGACTTCCGCTCATCTGTCATCAAAACCATCGTTTCTGTGCCTCACAGATCCCAGACGTCCGCTCATCTATCATCAAAGCCCCCCCTTTCTCTGCCTGGCGGGCCTCGGGCGAGCATACAGCTCCTTCCAGGGCGCTGCAGAACCCTCCCATGGCGTTCCAGGGCGCTCCGGGGCGGCCGCGGCGGCGGACGCATCCTGTTGGAACCGCCTGCTGCCAGAGGTCCCCAGTTATCGGTGCTCGATGCTGTTTTTTGCTTTCTTTCGTTTCGCCTCCGTCTCCGCGTGGCCGCCCTCTCCTCCTCTTTCCCCCTCTTGCACGCCGGCCAATTCGCCTTTCGGTCGCCCCGAGTCGCCACCCGCTGGAGCAGCTTCTCTGCCTCGCCGCTGACGTAAAACATTGTCTTGCCTCCGTCTCAGAAAGGTGGCAGGCGCACGGACATCCTCCTCAACGCCACGGCCCGCCGGGATGCCGAGGGCAAGATAACTGGCGTGCTGGGCGTCGGACAGGACATCACCAGCATACGCAGGACCAGTGTCGCATTCGTCGTCGTCGTCGTTGTTGTCGTCCCCTCATTGATACTTGAGGTTCGGGTATCGATGATCGAGGTTTGAAGGTTTTGAACTATTCGTGGGCTTCGGAAGACCTCCAGGGGCCTCAGGAGACGTCTGGAGGTCATCGTCGTCATCGTCCTCCTCCGCCTTCTCTTCCCTTTTTTTGATATCACCTTTCTCTCCTCCTTCCTACTACTTGCCCTCCCCCTTCCTCCGCTCCCCCGCCCCCCTTCGACATCACCCTTCTCTCGTCTTCCTCTGCTCCTCCTCGTCCTGTCCCTCCCTCCCCCTTGCCATCCCTCCCTTCAACAGCACCCCTCTCGTCTCCTCCGTTCTGCTACAGCTCGTCGCCTCTGTCCCCCCGTTGATCCTTCTCCTGCTCCCTTCTCGTAGTCGACCTCAGCTTTTCCCCCCCTTCCGTCTTTTCCTTTGACATAACATTCTTTTCATCCCTCGTGCTTCTTCTTCTGCTTCTGCCTCTTCCCCCCCTCCTTGGCATCACCTCGTTCTCCTTCTTGCACATTCGCTTCCTTTCGAATGTATGTATTTCTCCTCCCTCCTACTGCTCCTCCTCTTAGGCATGCAGCATCATTTCTTTTGTCATCTGCCTTCCTGCTCCCTCATCGTCGCTGTCGTCTCCTTCTGCCTTTCCGTCCTCATTTTTCTCTCTCTCTCTCTCTCTTTCTTTCTCTCATCCCCCCCTCTTCCTCCTCCTCCTACTACTCCTCCTCCTCGTCCTCGTCCTCATCCTCCCCCCCCTCCTCTCCCGCTTCCGCCTCGTTCGACACAGCCTTCTCCTCCTCCATCTTGCTCTTGCTTACTCCTTCTCCTACCTTCCTCTTCCCCCTCCCTCCATCAGCATCATCTCTTCCTCCTCCTCTTCCCTGCGTCGTCCTCTTCCCTCGTCTTCCATCCTACCTCTTCCCCTCCTCCTCTTCCTCCCTCCTCTCCCTTTCCTCACTTCACCCCTCGCTCCCTCTCGACCTCGCCTCGCCTCCTCCTTCCTTCCTCTCAGGGCGGGCTGGGGCCCAGGGCTCTCTTCTGGCTCCCGGTGCCATGTTTGGGGCGGGGGGGCCGGCGGATCTGCTCGACAGAGCGACGTGGCGTCCAAGTCTTCAGCGGGCCGAGCGGGTGATCGTGCGTGTCCGCCAGAGGGGGGTGCTCCGCCCTGCCTGCGAACTCGTGAGCTCACGGGGTCCGCAGCCCCCTCCCCTCCTCCCTCGTGGCGCGGGGTGCCCCAGAGCTCTGGACGCCCGAAATGGGTACGGAAAGAATGGGTACAATGCCGAACAGCAGTTCGTGTTCATTTTGAACAGGATTCGATGTCCACGCCGCCGCGGCCAGTGTCCATTCGAGACAGAAGGCCGCCTGCCCAACAGCGGCCGCTGTTGGTTTGGGACAACATTTGTTGTTGGGCATTGTATCCATTTTTTCCGTACCCATTTCGGGCGTTCAAAAGAGCGTCTTGCGCCAGAGTCCTCGCGGGGGGTGCGCCGAAGCAAAGTTTGCGCAGCGTGGAGCGGGAATGTTTTTCCCGCGCGTGCACTCTCGGGGATGGCGCGCCCCGGGTGCGGCGGCCCCAGCGGGCCCAGCCTTGGGCCCCATCGGGATGCCCTGGGAGCTGGGGCCCCGGGCAACATGCAGGGGATAGCAGCCCTGGAGGCGCGGGTGCTGCAATTTGCGAGGGCTCGTGGCCCTGGGGCGAGGGATCTCTTGGCCCGTGGAGCGCGGGCGCAGCGTATTTTGCGAGGGCTCGTGGCCCTGGAAGCGCGAGCCAGGTGTAACTTACTGGAGATCGTGGTCCCGGGAGTGCGGACGCAGCGCAATTTGCTGCATATTGTGGCGGTGGGATCGCAGATCCAGCGTAATTCAGGCGAGATAGTGGCGCTGGCAGTACGGACCCAGAGCAGTTTACAAGTCATCGTGCTGTGAAATTGCGAGGGATCGTGGCCCCAGGAGCGCGGATCCCCCGACACCTTCCCTGGCACGTCCAGTGGCGCGTCCCGTGCGTGGCACGTTCCCCGGCTCGTCCTCTGGCGCTTCCGCGACCCGTTCCGTGGGCCGTCCCATGGCGCGTCCTTTGCCACGTCCCCTAGCGCTTCCCTTGATACGTGGCATGACGTCCCCTGGCACGCTCGTTGGCACGTTCTGTGGCAGGTCCCTGACACATCCATGGCACGTCCCCTGATATATCCCCTGGTATGTCCCTTGGCGCATCCCCTGATGCGCCCCTGGCGCATCCCGTGGCGCGTCCATGCGCCTGGCGCTCCGTGCGGGTTCGTTCCGTGCTGGTTGAGCGCCCGCACGTTTTTGATTACACAGCCGGCTCTGGGCGAGCTATGCGTTCAGGCAGCTCGAGCTAGATAGCCAGAGCAGGTCTGCCAGGGTGCGGGCGCTGAAAACGACTGGAGCCACAACGCAACAGGGCCGAACCCTCTCTGGGGCCTCTTGGACTGTCTCTGGCCAGTCTGGGGGGCCCCTCGGGCCGTTCTGGATTCCTTGAAGGCCGACAAAAACGAGAACGTGAACCTTGTTCAGAAACCGATGGCTTTTGCCTCTTGAGGCCCTCTTTGGGGGTCCTCTTGGGGACCTCTGGGGCGGCTTCGGACGCCTTGATCCATGTTGGGTGTTCTCGAGTCCTCCCCGACGTGCTGGGGACCTTTTGGAGCCATGCTGGATGGCATTCTGGGCATCTTGGAGGCGACGGAGGCCAGAGTTGGAGGCTCTGGAGCCCCCCCCCCTGGGATGCGTTGAGGAGCTCGTGCCCCCCCGCGCCTTGCAACGATTTCGGGTCCCCAGGGGAGAGGAAGGGGGACAGCCGGTCATCCCACACACCTTTCACGCCATTGGCAAGCGAGGGTCAACGAATCCCTTGCAGGGTTCCATCGATGTCTGTTCCGCCGTCTGCTCTCCCTCCTCCCCCCCTTTCCTCGGCGTCACCTCCTCCTCCTTCGACCTCGCCTCGTCTTCTTTCAACTTTCTTCTCCGTCCTCCTTCCACTCCTCCCTCCTTCGACTTCGCCTCTTTGTCTTCCTTCGACTGGTTCTCCTCCTCGCCTTCGTTCTTCTTCTCCTCCTCCATCCCCATCCACATCTCGTCCTTCTCCGTCGGCTTTCCTGGGAAGGGGGGGGGAGGAGGAATCGAAGGATGAGCGAAGAGGAGGAGGGGGAGGAGGAGGAGGAGGAGGAGGAGAAGGAGGAGGAGGAGAAGGAGGAGGACCCGGGCAAAGCCAGGACGTAAAGCAGCAGTGCTGTGGTCTGCCCTCCCGTCCCGAGTGCTGTCCTCAGATGTCCATGCAGCACAGGAGCTCTCTTCATCGCCACACGAGGCGACCCCCCTAGACACAACAACAAAGACAAACAGCGCCACACGGGCCTGCCATTCGGGCGAGGGCCCCGCTTCTCGACGAGGAGCTGCCGTGCATCCTCCTCCCGCGAGTGGTAAGGCAGCCGCAGGTGCCACACAGGTCAGCGAGGCGTCCAGCAAGATGCAGCCACCGTGCGGTCGAGAGCGTCGATCTCGGCTTGGTGGTCAGTGTGACACAAAGCAAGTCCAGCAGTGTGTAGCCATTCGGAACAAATAGCAAGGCCCCCCCCCTCTGTGCAAGTGTCCCACAGTGCTGCACGCCCGGCCATACCTTTTCGAGGATTTCTCAGGCGGCAGCCCCCATCGACATTGGCCCGACGATGGGACCCGACCATGTGCAGTTGTGAGGACCGTCGTTGTGAGTACCGTCTTCGGTGGATCTCATGGGGCCACGAAGCACGTGAAGGGTGTGGTGCCACCATGCGGGCGCTGCCACTGGGGCCTTCGAGCATCGCGAGGAACATGAAATGGAGGAGGGGGGCCAGCAACAGGGGCCATTGGGGCCTTCGGTGGAGCTCCCTCTCGGGCCACGAAGCGTGTGAGAGGTGTGCAGAAAGGGCGGGTGGGACCGCATGCGGGCGTTGCCAGTGGAGCCTTGGGTGGAGCTCCCTATGGCGTAGCCCTAAGGTCCAGGCCTCCTAGATGGGGTCCGAGTAGATGGGGTCGGAGGATCGCGCCGCACCGCCGATGCATCTTCGATGCATTGACGATGCGGCTCGTTGTGGAGACCGTGTTTCCCCACGCCCACGTCGCCGATGCATTGCCGACGTCACCGACGCATCGCCGATACATCGCCGATACATCGACGATGCATTGACGATGCGGCGCAATCCTTCGACGCCATCAAATCGGACCCCATCTAGGAGGCCTCTATAAGGGGCCACGGAGCGTGTGATGGGGGTCGCCGAAATGGAAGCTGGGACCATATGCGGGCGCTGCCACTGGGGCCTTCGGTGGAACTTCTTGTAGGGCCATGAAGCGTGTGGGGGGTGCACCGAGATGGGGGTGGAACCGCATGCGGGCGCTGCCACTGGGGCCATCGGTGAGGCTCCTTTATGTGGCCACGAATCGTATGAGGGGTGCACCGAAATGGAGGGTGGAACCGCATGCGGGCGCTGCACATGGGCCCTTCGGAGAAACTTCTTGTAGGTTGTAGGGTCACGACGCGTATGGTGGGTGCACCGAGATGGGGGTGGAACCGCATGCGGGCGCTGCCACTGGGGCCGTCGGTGAGGCTCCTTTGTGTGGCCACGAAACGTGTGAGGGGTGCACCGACATGGAGGGTGGAACCGCGTGCGGGCGCTGTCATTGGGGCCCTCGGTGGAGCTCCCTATGTGGCCACGAACCGTATGAGCGGTGCACCGAGATGGGGGTGGAACCGCATGCGGCTGCTGCCACTGGGACCTTCGGTGGAACTCCCTAATTATGTCCACGACACGTGTGAGGGGTTCACCGAAATGGAGGTTGGAACCGCATGCGGGCGCTGCCAGTGAGGTTTTCGGTGGAGCTCAGTACGGGGTCAGGAAGCGTGCCACTGGGGCCTTACATGGAGCTCTCTATGAGGCGACGAAGCGTGTGAAGGGTGTGTCGGCATGGAAGCGCTACAGCTGGGGCCCTCGGTTGATCTCACTATGGGGCCACGAAATGTGCGAAGGGGTGCACCGCAATTGGGGTAGAACAGCATGAGGGCGCTGCCAGTGGCGCTTTCAGTGGGCCTCCATATTCGGCCACGGAGCGTGTGAGGGTTTGCACGGACATGAGGGTGGAACCGCATTCGGGCGCTGCCACTGGGGCGTTCGGTGGAGCGCCCTTTGGGGTTGCGAATCGTGTGAGGGGTGTGCCGACATGGTTGACTGGCGTGGAGGGCGGATGCAGGGATGGGAGGAGGAGGAGGGAGGAGAAAGGAGGAGGAGGAGGAGACGCGGGGCGCTGTCTTTTCAAAATTAGCTTGGCGAACGACCCAACCATATGCAGTTGTGAGTACCGCAATTGTGAATATCTTCTTCGGTGGAGCCCCTTATTGGGCCACGAAGCGCTGTACTGGGTGGGTGAAACGCAGGGAGCAAGGCCTGTGATGGGTGGTGGCGGACGCATGCGGGCGGTGCCACTGGGACCTTCGGTGGAGCCCCCTTATGGGGCCACGAAACGCTGTACTGGGTGGGTGAAACGAAGGGAGCAATGGCTGTTCTGGGTGGTGGCGGACGCATCGGGCGGTGCCACTGGGACCTTCGGTGGAGTTCCCTATGGGGCCACGAAGCGCTGTACTGGGTTGGTGAAACGCAGGGAGCAAGGGCCGTACTGGGTGGTGGCGGACGCATGCGGGCGGTGCCACTGGGACCTTCCGTGGAGCTCCCTCTGGGGCCACGAAACGTTGTATTGGGTGGGTGAAACGCAGGGAGCAAGGGCTGTGCTGCGGGGTGGCGGACGCATGCGGGCGGTGGCCACGAAACCTTATACTGGGTGGGTGAAACGCCGGGAGCAAGGGCTGTGCTGGGTGGTGGCGGACGCATGCGGGCGGTGCCACTAATAACCATGAGACTCTGCGAAGTTCTTGTAAGACTGCATGCGCGGCGCTAAGGCGAAAGCCACATCTTGGAAAGGAACCGCCCTCAATCCGTGATGCTCTTGCATTGTTAAAACGAATGTGCGCGGCGCTAAGGCGATAGCCACATTTTCAACAGGAGCTGCCCTCAACCCGTGAAACGTTTGCATTTTTTTAGAACCCATGTGCACGGCGCTGAGGCGAGAGCCACATTTTGGAAACGATTCGTCCTCAATCCGTGAAGCTCTTGCACATTTTTAAGACGAGCGTGCGTGGCGCCAAGACGGGAGCCACATTTAGGAAGCGGCCCGCCCTCCATTTGTGACACTTTTGCTAGGCTCTAAGCTTCAGGCTCATGAGTGGTGGAGGAGGAGGAGGAGGAGGAGGAGGAGGAGGAAGAGGACGAGGAAGATAAGGAGGAGGAGGAGGAGGAGGAGGAGGAGGAGGAGGAGGAGGAGGAGGAGGAGGATCCCTCCTCCCCCCTCCTCTCTGGCACCGGCAGGGCGCTTACAGAGAGCAAGACGGTCGCCGAGGACCTCTCGCGCCTCATCGAGACGGCCAACGCGCCGATCTTCGGCGTCGGGGTGAACGGACGAGTCACGGAGTGGAATAGGAAGGCCAGCGGTTCCCAGGGTGGAGCGGCCAGCGAGGATTACAGAAGAGCAATTGGGAATCAGCATCGGTTTCCAGAGCTCCGCGCGGACCTCCGAACGCTTCTGTTAGTGCCGTTTTCGGCGATGCTGCGCCATCGGGAGCCCGATTTTTTCCATCCCGACGTCGCCGGTGCGTCGGCGATGCGTCGGCGATGCGGTGCGGTTCTCCGACCACTCTGCTCCAGCCCCGCTGGGGACCAGAGCTGAGGTAGGAAGGCTGCGGAGCCGAGGGTCTGGGGCCAGGGAGGGTCTCCGGAGGCTTTCAGAGGCTTTCGGATGATTTTCGTTCTCTCGGAGGTATTCGGAGACGTTCCAGAGTGTACTGGGAGGGGAGGGAGAGGACGGGGAAGGAGGGGGAGGAGATGGGGAGGGTTGGGGAGGGGGAGCCGGAGGGTGTACTGGCTTGGCTCCCCCACACGAGCGGCGTTTGTACATGTTGGCTTGCTTCTCAGTGCTCTCAAGCTGGCCCGGGGGGGGAGGGGATGGGCGGGGAGCAGAGGGCCCGTGGGGGAGCGAGGGAGCGGGGAGGGAGACTCTCCCAGGGCCCGTCTCGATCCGATCGGCTCGATTTGGTACCCTCCTCCTCCTCCTCCTCCTCCTCCTCCTCCTCCTCCTCCTCCTCCTCCTCCTCCTCCTCCCGGTTCGAATCCGCTGCTCCGCCGACTCGGCTCGGCCGGCTGCCTGCGCGGCTGCCTGCACGGGCAGCCGCTCCGGGCCGATCTCGGCTTCGTGCCGATGCAGCCAGATCCGCCGCACATTTGGATCCGACCCGCTCTCTAGCGGGCGTAGACAGGTCAGAAGCCGTGCATCTGTGAGACGCGTTGGCAAAAGCATCCGGATGCTATTGGACCGATTTCTAGCGGGCGAAGGGCGGTATCAAATCATTTTTTTCCGCCGTCGGGGACGCCTGCCCCGGGCGGCTGCAAACGAATCTCCCGACTCGGTGCGGACCGAGCCTGCACGAAGCCTCCGGAGGCCTCCGTCGGGCCTATATATGGGCCTCCAGGGGCCAGGAGGACGGGGCAGGATCGCTCCGCAATCTCGGAGTCTCCATCCCGGGAGCGATCATGGGCAACGTTAGGTAGCATAGGCTCAGGGTGATACAGTCGGACCGGGGTATAATATTGAGGTTGGTTCGGGAAGGCTGCCCTAATCTTCTTCGTGTTTGTTGGATGTTCTTGAGCACCCTGGGGAGGGTACCCTTGGAGGTTCTGTTTGTTCTGGCCGACGCAGGGTCTCATGTTCTTGACGGATGTTCTTCTGGCCTAGGTCCGATTGTATGCACTGACCCCCATCGCCCGTTCATCGCCGATAGGGGCCACCCCGCCCAGGCACGTGCGGCTTGACTATCGGGGCCCTGTCGCCGATCTATCGGCGAGGTAACGTCGATTCCAGGTCGATGTTGCCCTCCCCTGAGCCAGGCATCCTTTCTCGTTCACCCTCAAATAGAGTGTGAGAAACGGTACGACAAAAAAATTGCCGTCGTCGGGGACGCCTGCGCCATGGACGCTGGAAACTCTATGCCCCGGCGTGCCACGGTAGGGGTATACATTTTCCAGCCGCCCTGGGGCAGGCGTCCCCGACGGCGGGACCAGTTTATTCCATGCTGTTCTCGGTCCTCTGCTCAAGCGCGGGAAGGCGGCGGAGCTGTCGAAGTATACCAAGGAGGAGACCGTCGGGAGGCTGCTGGTGGACGAGTTCATCCTCCAGGAGCACAAGGCGCGGGTCCAGGCCGTCCTCACGAAGGCCTGCGAGGGCGAGGAGACGGCCAACTTCGAGTTCCCCCTGATGACCAAGGACGGGCTTCGGGGAGATCAATGACTCGAAGAACTCGAAGAACAGCAAGAGCGGAATAAACACAAACTTTCGGAGCTTTGCGCAGAGAGGTTCGGGGCTCGATGTTCGAGTTCTTCCTTTGTTTGAGTGTGTGTGTGTGTGGCGTTTTTTTTTTTTTTTTTTTTTTTTTTTTTTTTTTTTTTTTTTTTTTTTTTTTTTTTTTGTTTTTTTTTTGTTTTTGTTTATATATATATGTATACACATAAACTGGGCATGAAGGTCCTTCAGGGGCCTTCTGGGGACCTCCTGAGACCTTTGGAGACTTATGGGGATCCTGATGACGCAGGACAAGCTTCAGATCGACATCCTGCTGAATGCCACGCCGCGCCGTGACGAGCAGGGGAACGTCACGGGCGTCGTGGGCGTCGGCCAGGACATCACCAACATGAGGAAGGCGCTGAACGAGACCAGGAGGATTGCCGAAGATCTCTCCCGCCTGATCGAGACTGCCAACGCCCCAATTTTTGGAGTCAGCGTGGATGGCCAGGTCACCGAGTGGAATAGGAAAGCGGCGGAGCTGACTCTCTACTCGAACGAGGAGTCTTTGGGCTGCAATTTTGTCAAGGCGTTCATCACGGAGGAGTATAAAGAGCGAGTGGCGACGGTACTGTCCCGTGCTTGTCAAGGCATCGACACCGCGAACTTCGAGTGCCCGCTGATGACAAAGGATGACAGGCAGATCGACATTTTGCTCAATGCCACGACCCGACGCGATGCTGATGGTAATATCACAGGGGTTGTGGGCGTTGGTCAGGACATCACTATCATGCGCAAGGCGCTCACTGACACCAAGACGGTCGCTGAGGATCTCTCTCGCCTGATCGAAACAGCAAACGCGCCCATCTTTGGTGTGGACGTGGAGGGCCGTGTGACCGAGTGGAACCAGAACGCAGCTACTCTGACCATGTATTCCAGGGAGGAAACAATGGGAAAGCTTCTGGTTGACGAGTTCATCACGCAGGACTTCCAGGCCCAGGTGCAGACCGTGCTCACGGAGGCCTGCCAGGGGCTGGAGAGAGCCAACTTCGAGCTCCCCCTGATGACGAAGGACAGGCGAAGAATCGATGTCTTGCTCAACGCCACTCCGCGCCGCGACGCGGACGGCAACGTCACAGGAGTGGTCGGCGTCGGGCAGGACATCACTGAGATGCGGAATATCCTCACGCAGAGCAAGACCGTGGCGGAGGATCTTTCGAGGCTGATTGAAACTGCCAATGCTCCAATCTTCGGGGTCAGCGTGGACGGCTGGGTCACCGAGTGGAACAGAAAGGCGGCTGAACTGACCGGTTACCCCAAAGAGGAAACGATGGGCCGGAGCTTGATAGACGACTTCATCACGCAGGACTACAGGGAGCAGGTGCAGGTAGTCCTGACGCAAGCGTGCCAGGGTACAGAGACCGCAAACTTCGAGTTCCCCCTGATGACCAAGGACGGAAGACGAATCGACGTCCTGCTCAATGCCACGACACGCCGCGATGCTGCGGGCAGTATCACAGGAGTAGTTGGCGTCGGTCAGGACATCACGAACATGCGCAGGGCTCTAACCGAGAGTAAGACTCTCGCCGAAGACCTGTCTCGCCTGATCGAGACTGCCAATGCGCCCATCTTTGGTGTCAACGTCGAGGGACATGTCACTGAGTGGAACAGAAAAGCAGCGGAAATTACAGGGTATGGCAAGGATGAGACGATGGGCCATCCCCTTGTGAAGGATTTTATCACGGCGGAGTACAAAGAGCAGGTACAGGCTGTGCTTACAGCTGCATGCAAGGGCTCGGAGACCGCCAATTTCGAGTTTCCCCTGATGACAAAGGATGGCAGGCAGATCGACATTCTGCTAAACGCTACCACTCGCTGCGATGCAGACGGCAACGTCATAGGGGTTGTCGGTGTCGGCCAGGACATCACAAACATGCAGAATGCCCTGAAGGAGAGCAAGACTGTCGCGGAGGAGCTCACCGAGCTGATCAACACTGCAAACGCCCCCATCTTCGGCATCGACTGCGACGGATGCGTGACCGAGTGGAACAAGAAGTCGGCCGAGCTGTTGGGCTGGACCAAGGAGGAGACCTTTGGGAAGCCGCTGGTGGAGTCCTTCATCTACTCCGACAGGCGGCAGGAGGTCCAGCACGTCCTGCACGAGGGGCTGGAAGGCCACGAGACGGCGAACTTTGAGTTCCCGCTGTTCACGAAGAACGGGGACAGGCGATCCGCCACACAAATATGTGTGTTTGTACATATATATATATATCTATATATACATGTATAGCTATACATGTACACATATGCACAGACCCCCCCCCCCAGTGGACTGTTCCTGGGCCTTCAGGGGAGGGTGGCGGTGTGTTAAAAATCACAGCCCAGTGAGCCCTTCACAGAAGAAGGCCCGAGCCTGGGTGGAAGAGCCCACTGCTGGGTGTCCGTGTATAGATTCTCGTGGCGCAGGCGAGACATTGTGCTCAACGTCACCCCGCGCCGCAACGTCCAGGGTGTGGTGGTCGGGGTCATCGGCGTGGGCCAGGACGTCTCCGAGCTGCGGGGCGCCATCGCAGAGAAGCAGCACCTGGCGGACGACCTGGAGCGCCTTGTGGAGACGGCCAACGCGCCGATCTTCGGGGTCGCTGGGATCGAGGATCGAGGATCGAGGATCGAGGATCGAGGCTTCTGGACGTTATCCTGTCCCTTCTTGGGCCCCAGCAGGCTTTCGGATGCTTCCCAAAAGAGGACCCTCCTCGCCAGGCCTTCGCAGGCTCCCTCTTGGCCAGATCTCGGCTTCCGTGGCCTCCAGCGCCCTGGTTGGAAGTCGATGGGTATTTAGATTTGGCCCCTAAACCGATGGCCTGTGGAGTCTGGGCAGTTTCATCCGATCGATCCGCTTCGATATTGATCCTGGCCGATCCGATATCCGATTCGATTCCGATGCTCCGACGAGCCTATGCGACTCGATGCTCGCACGGCGCAGTTGTGCATCCTTACGCGGCCGTCCTGACTCGATTCCGACTCCGTGCCAACGCGGCCCGATCCGACGCACGTTCCGATCCGATTCGATTTCTTGTTTCTTTGCTGACTCATCTTGCCCTGGTTGGTGAGCCGATAGGCACCGAGATCTGGCCCACAATGATGGCCCGTGGAGCCTTTGTGATATGGAGCAGCCAAAGAGGATCATAAGGATGAGCACGCGCCGGCCGTTGGAAGTAGGTATTTTCGGACCCCCAGATCCCAATCTGTTTCAAGCGCCTTCCTACTTCAAGAACCGATCTGCTTTTGCTGCGCTGTGCCATTTTCTGGTAGGACCTGAACCCCTCCCCCTCCTCCTCCTCCTCGTCCTCCTCCTCCTCCTCCTCGTCCTCCTCCTCCTCCTCCTCCTTTCCCTCCTCCTCCTCCTCCTCCTCCTCCTCCTCCTCCTCCTCCTCCTCCTCCTCCTCCTCCTCCTCCTCCTCCTCCTCCTCCTCCTCCTCCTCCCCCCTCTACTCTGTCCACTTTACTACTTCACGTTCTTGCCTACTTCTTCCGACCGCCGTGCAGCCTCCCAAGGCTAGCGGCGCGCGCATGGGGGGCACGGAGGAGGGGGGAAGGCACCCTGGAAGGAGGCTGCTCCTCGGACGGCGCCGCCCCCGCATCTGCAGACATGGCCAGCGCCTTTAACGAAGCAAGGGTGCTTCGAAGAAGGCTTCCCCCCTCCCCCCTACCCCCCCCTTCTGCGCGTGGCCGACAGGGGCACCCCTGCACCCGTATCTCCTGGCCCTTCCCAGCCCACAGCCATGGGCCGTGAGCGCTTCCAGCCTGGGCCTCCGTCTGGGCGCCAGAGGGCCCCGCATCCCCGCCGCGCCGTCCAGTGCACGTCGGTCGTTGCAAGTAGGTACGTCTAAGTCGGGCACGTCCCTCTACAGGAGGAATGTTCTAAAATAGTCAGTAAATAGTCTGGGGACGAATTTTCGTTTTTTTTTTTTTTGGTTTGTTAAAAAAATATGCTAACGGAGTTCCCCACATAAAGAGATTAACGGTTTCGTGGGACCCATTTTCTTGATGCCCTCCTCGCGACGCAGGAGGGGTGGGAGGGGCACGAAACCATGTACATAGTATGGTATTCCGACACCCTCCTCGCTCAGGCTGGGCCTCCCTGGGAGGGGCACGGTACATATACCCTCCTCGCTCAGGCGGGGCCTCCCTGGAGGGGTGGGAGGGGCACGAAACCATGTAAATAGTATGGTATTCCGATACCCTCCTCGCTCAGGCGGGGCCTCCCTGGAGGGGTGGGAGGGGCACGAAACCATGTAAATAGTATGGTATTCCGATACCCTCCTCGCTCAGGCGGGGCCTCCCTGGAGGGGTGGGAGGGGCACGAAACCATGTAAATAGTATGGTATTCCGATACCCTCCTCGCTCAGGCGGGGCCTCCCTGGAGGGGTGGGAGGGGCACGAAACCATGTAAATAGTATGGTATTCCGATACCCTCCTCGCTCAGGCGGGGCCTCCCTGGAGGGGTGGGAGGGGCACGAAACCATGTAAATAGTATGGTATTCCGATACCCTCCTCGCTCAGGCGGGGCCTCCCTGGAGGGGTGGGAGGGGCACGAAACCATGTAAATAGTATGGTATTCCGATACCCTCCTCGCTCAGGCGGGGCCTCCCTGGAGGGGTGGGAGGGGCACGAAACCATGTAAATAGTATGGTATTCCGATACCCTCCTCGCTCAGGCGGGGCCTCCCTGGAGGGGTGGGAGGGGCACGAAACCATGTAAATAGTATGGTATTCCGATACCCTCCTCGCTCAGGCGGGGCCTCCCTGGAGGGGTGGGAGGGGCACGAAACCATGTAAATAGTATGGTATTCCGATACCCTCCTCGCTCAGGCGGGGCCTCCCTGGAGGGGTGGGAGGGGCACGAAACCATGTAAATAGTATGGTATTCCGATACCCTCCTCGCTCAGGCGGGGCCTCCCTGGAGGGGTGGGAGGGGCACGAAACCATGTAAATAGTATGGTATTCCGATACCCTCCTCGCTCAGGCGGGGCCTCCCTGGAGGGGTGGGAGGGGCACGAAACCATGTAAATAGTATGGTATTCCGAACTATGGTATGGTATGGTGTGTGTGGTAGGAATAATATTGTGCTGTATGGAAGATGGAGCGGGAGGTGGGTGGGAAGGAGAGGGTGTTCTGGGAAAACAAGAACCCCACTCAGGATGTGGGGGGAAAAAAAATATTTGGGAGTTTTTTGAGTATATGTTTTTTTGTACAAAGTCCGCCTGTAGGAGGACATGCCCGACCTAAAAGCAGGTACTTCTGGATTCCAGGATCCCAATGTACTTTGACCGCCCTCCTACTTCAAGGATCTCTTCCCTCCTCTTCAGGGGGCGGGCGGACGCCCATTCTACTTCCAACGCCCTCCTGCTTCATGTTTCTACCCCACTTCTTCCGACCGACGGGTGAACCTGTCCACGATCCTGTCGTGCTGTGTGCTCTGCCTCTCCCTAGGTTCGCGTCGGACGAAAGGGGGATCGGAAACCGGGGGGGGGGTACGAAATTGGCAACCCGGCGCCGGGAGGCGCTGGGGAGATCAGCTGCGTGAGCTAATTCGCCAGTCCCCCTTCACACCCCTCGGTACCGTCCAAACAGATGCTATCTTTGCGTCATTCACGCAAGGGCGACGCGCACGCCTGGACATCTTATAGCATAAGCTCCGTGGCGGGCGCTTCCTGGCCATACCGCTCGGGAAACGGTCTACAAGTTTTCGTGCTATCTCTTCGAGTCGGGCGTGCGTCTCCAACAGAGGCACATAGCACTAGTAGGTCATTATGCGCCCCATGCTTCAATGTCCCTGTGGCTTCGACCCGGATCTCTTCAGGCAATTTGGCTTCCTCCTCCTCCCTCCTCCTCCTCCTCCTCCTCCTCCTCCTCCTCCTCCTCCTCCTCCTCCTCTTCCCTCCTCCCTCCTTCCTCCTTCCTCCTCCTCTTCCCTCCTCCTCCTCCTCCTCCTCCTCTTCCCTCCTCCTCCTCCTCCTCCTTTCGCTCCTTCTCCTCGTCTGACCCGATGAGGTCGACCTCAACCGGTGGGTGAACATCTGGAACCGCAAGTTCGTGGCCCTGTCCGGCTATGAGGCCCGTGCCTTTACTCGCCGGCAGTTTTGCGGCGGGGCGGGGCGACGACGACGACGACGACGATGAGGACAACGACGACGACGATGACGACGACGTCACGACGACGACGATACGAAGGGGCGAGGAACGAGCAGCGCTCGCTTCCGATGCGCGACTGCCCGTTGTTGACGGACGGCAAGTGTCTCTGGATCCCCAGTTCTCGCTGGCATGTGCCACGACCGATCCACGCACCCCACAAGTTGTCCTTCGGCAGCAGCTCATAGGAGCCCTGCATGTCCTCGCGATTCCGTCTCTGGAGTGCAGGCGCGTGCGCTGGCGTCTGGCAGTCGATGAGAGAACGCCGATCTCGCGTCGAGTAGAGCCGACTTAGCGTCGATTTAGCGTTGGTTTAGCGTCGATTTGCGTCGATTAGAGTCGATCTTCGTCGGCTAGCAAGCCCCGCGGGATCTTCCCACTCACGCTCTCCGTCGCTTTGTCCTCCCCCCCTCGCTCCCTCTTACTCTGTGCCTCCGCTTCGTACCTGCTTATCCTTCTAACGTGACACTTGACGCCCTCTGGTGCCATCGTACTGCCAGCGCGCACCGCGCTCACTCGGGATCTACCCCGCCTCGCATTCGTCGTCGTCTCATCTGGGAATCCAGCCTGGGAGGGACGGGCAAAGACGGTCCTGTATCGACTCCCCAGTTTCGCTGTCGCCAGTGGCATCGTTCCTCGCATGGTGTCCGTTGTTTCCCAACCACTGCTCCCACTGTGGAGTTTTGCTCTTGGAGTTTTACTGGCTCCGCAAACAGTGCTTGCAGTTGGGACTTCTTATTTGGTTTACTTCGGGTAACTGGGTGGGTATCCAGTCTTTTCGGCTGCAGCCTGTGGGAGCAGCAGTGGAACACGAACGACTCGAGCCTCCTGGGGTCCTGGGGGCCTCCTGGGGGGGGGGGAGGGGGAGGAGGGGGGCGAGCAGCGATCCCCGAGCACACATCACAAACAAGAGCATGCTTCCTGTGGGCGCCCTGTGGGGTGCCTCGTGGGCGCCCTGTGGGGTGCCTCGTGGGCGCCCTGTGGGTGCTCCCCGAGCCCGTGGGCGCCCCGTGGGTGCCTCGTGGGCGCCCCGGCGCTCGGATGGCATTCCGAGGTCTCGCCCCGGGTGCCCGCCCGTGGGCGCCCCGTGGGCGCTCCGACATCCGGAGCCGCGGGCAGTTTCCCTCTCCGTAGGGGGTCTTAGCCGTCGGGGATCCCAGGCAGCGTGTGTTCAGCAGCCTATGTTGGGCAATCCGGGTGGTCCCAAACGGGTGGTCCCATCTACGTGGTGCAGTCCATGTTGTGCAACATGGGTGGTGCAAATTGTCAGGTGGTGCGACCTGTGCGGCGCAACTGGTTTTAGCGAACGAGCCGGCACAGCTCGCGCTCTTGCAAACATCCCACCCGCCCGCACGCACCTTGGTTTGCAAAACCCATGCGGTGGCGATTGCAATGCATGCTTGGCGTTGGCTGGTGCATCTCTGCGGCCGCGCTAGCCCGCGCATGCTCGCGCGCGCAGCGGCCAGCTAGTTTGGCGCGACCGACGCGGCCGCGGTGGCGCTGACCGCTGGGCACATCCCAGCGGGCACTTCACTGCGAGTCGGCGCCTTGGGAGGGCGCGGTATCATGGCAACGTCGTCGACGGTAGACACGATGATGATAGTAGCGGTGCTGGTGACGATGTTGAAACCGACGAAGGCGCGGCCATTGTGGCCGCCGATGCTGATCACGCCAACGACGATGACGGCGTCCTCGCGTCGGCGATGAAGGTTTAGGAACAAGTTCGACATGCGCGCGCGGCCGACGCGCGAGAGTGGCCCGCGTGTTATTGTTTGACACGGTCGTGCCCCCCCAACACGCGCGCAAGGGCGTGCGGATGGTGTCGACATGCGGCGCGAGAAGCCCGCTTGGCATAATTCCGTGGATAAAAAGGTTGAATCAATTTAGTGGTTTCACAAGAATTCGTAAGAGCGCGAGCGCTTTTTTCGAAAACTGATGTCGCGACACTTTTGTGTGTATGTGTTTCGGACACTCTTTTTTGACATCGCTACGGAACCGAAGGTTTTTGAATCATGTCGGCATGCGCGCGCGACGACGCGCACGCGTGCGTTTTTTTGCAGAGGATTCTCGCGAAGGCACGCGACCAGCGGCGTTCGAACGATTTCGACATGCGCGCGCGCGAAGCCCCCTTTTTGTTTTGTGTAAAAGTAAATGTTGATCAGCCATGGTTTTCTGAAGAAATCGCAAGAGCGCGCATAAGTTTTGTTTGAACATTCGTGTTGCGAAACCCTGTGCTTGTAGATGAATTTTGCGCACTCGATTTTGTAATCCTTGCGACATCGAGCGTTTTGGAAAGATTTCGGCATGCGCGCGCGACGACGCGCGCGTGTGCATTCCGTTTCTTTTTCGGAGAGCATTTTTTTTAAAATGCGCGTGCGCGCGTATAGCCTTTTTTTGCAGAGGGTGGCCGGGGGGGGGCGATACCGGCTTCCCCGGGATGATACGAATTCATATTTCGGATGGGCGGTGGGGCAAAATCAGATGTAAGTTGCAATACCAAGCGGGGAAGTTATACTCCCGATGGGGGGGGAGAGCTTATGAAAGGAGAATCGACGTGGTGCAACCAACGTGGTGCAGCATATATTTTGCAATCTAAGCGGTGTAACCTGTATGGTGCAATGTTTGTGGCACAATGTACGTTGTGCAACCTAGGCGGCGATGAGGCGGCGACGGCGAGCACACCGCCGCCAGACCGACACCCAGGCCTAGACGACGGATGGCGACGAGACGGCGATGAGGCGGCGACGCCGAGCACGGAGCCGCCAGACCGACACCCAGGCCAAGACGACGGGTGGCGACGAGGCGAGACGGGGCGGCAACGGCAAGCATGGAGCCGCCAGACCGACACCCAGGCCCAGTTTCTTAGAACAGCAATAGAATTCTAAATGCAAGCACTTTTTGGGGAGAAGAAGTTCCCCCCCTTTCCGAGTCCGGAGTTATCGCCCCCCCCCGGGGCACTGCAAATCATTTACGGTTCTGCAGCATCGTTCATGTTCCACATGGTTCATATCTTCCCATCCGACATGCTATTGCCCCCCTGTCGTCCCAGTCAGATATTGCCATTCGCCAACACTCGTCTTTTATCTCGAAACTATCCTGTTTCAAGCATCCCTTGAGGTATTTGCAGAAAGACCACGCGCACGCACATGTCGACATCATATCACACGCCTTTTTTGCACGGATCCCACACAACAACACAAGCAACCCTTACATGTTGCATCACAATTCTGGCAGATTATCTGCCCGCCCGCACTTGGTGACATCATAGGACAACCATGTGATTTCGTTCAGACGCCGCATTCTCATCCCAGCACGCGGATCACCTGCGCTGATTTCGCATGCGCCCAGTGCACGAATCCGTCGTACATAACACCATGCGGGCCACGCTTTCGCCGCCATGCTCGCGTGCCGAAATCTTTCCAACTTCAATGCCTGTCGAAGGATTTCGAGATAGAACCGTTTGCGCAGCAACCCGTGAAACAAACAACAGCAGGTTGATTTACATACAAGAGCATGTCATATTTATTGAATTTCTGCACGCGCACTTTGTCACCATCACCCTCATCAGCGCCATCGCGTCACCGCGTGAACGTCATCGTCAATCGCCGCCATTGCCACCATCATGAGGCAACGACCTTCATCATCGAAACATTGACGTCGTCATCGTCATCGTCGTCACTAGCATCGGCGCCGTCATTGGCCTTGCCGTCATCGTCGTCACCGCCACCACCATCGCTACTATCACTATTGTTGCCGCTGTTGTCGACGTCACCATGATACCGAACCCGCCTGAGCCACCGATCCGCATTGAAGTGCCCGTGCGCAATAGCGGCCTTTGGCTCGCGCTGGGACGTTGTCATCGGTAAGCGCTATCTCGGCCGCATCGGTTGTGCCAAACCAGCTGGCCTCTCTGCGCGCGAGCTTGCGCGCGCTAGCGCAGCCGCAGAAATGCTCCAGCCACTGCCAAGTAGTCGTGGCTATCGGTGCCTCATGGGTTGCGCAAAGCAAAGTACGAGTGGGAGTGTGGACTGATTGCGCGGGCAGCGCAGTTGCCATCTTCAAGTTCTGCAAGATGGATTGCACCACGTAGCTTGCACCTCGCAGCTTGCGCCACACAGTGCACGCCACATATATTTTCCGTGCAAGAGAAAATGCTCGTCCATCCTCTTCCCGGGACTTCTTGACACCCTTGGTACACCGTGTGATTCCATACCATCCCAACCAAACCAGTATCGCCCATCATCCCTGTCAAACAATTCCATGCGCGCGCACTCTTTTATCCCGAAAGGGTACTTTCAATAATTCCTGGCAACAGTCGCACGGAATCCAACCGCGCGCGCACATGCCGAAAGCGCACCACACGCATGAGTTTTGCTAGTATTTCAACAGTCATACACAGTACATTTTAGACTTTCCACTAGAACTCTTCGCAACAGCTTGCGCGCATTTGCCGACATCGTAGGTAAACGATATGATGAGTTCAGCAATCTTGCGTAGAACCCGCATCATCATCTCACCACGCGGTGCATCCGCGCTGTTCCAGCATGCGGCCAGTGCGCGATCCCGTATCAAAGCACACCATGCGGGCCCGTCGCGCGCCGCTACGCGAGCGTGCCAAATTCCATCCGACGCATTTTAAAATCGAGCTCTTCATCAACGTATAGAGTACCGTATGTTTTCCAACCAGCGTTTGTCAGGATTATAGTTTTTTTTGCGCCCGCACTTCCCCACCATCAGCCGGACCAGCGCCGCCGCACCACGCCATTGTCGCTGACAACTGCCCCCATTGCTGCCATCATCAGTCAAGCACCTTCATCACCGACACATAGCCATCATCATTGTCATTGGCGTTACCAGCATCGGCGTGGCCATTGGTCTTGCCAACGTCATCGTCATCATCGCCACCGCCGTGGCTACTATCATCTTCGTTGCCACGTTGTCGACGTCACAATGATACCGAACCCGCCCGAGCCACTGATCCGCATTGAAGTGCCCTTGCGCCACTGCGGCCTTTGACACGCGTTGGGACGTTGCCATCGGTAAGCGCAATCGCAGCCACATTGGTTGTGCCGAACCAGCTGACCTCTCTGCGCGCGAGCTACCGCGCGGCAGCGCGGCCGCAGAGACGCGCCAACCATGGCCAAGCAGTCAAGGCCATCGCCGCCGCATGGGTTTTTGCAAACCAAGGTGCGGGTGGGAGGGTGGGATGATTGCGCGAGCAGTAGAGTTGACAACTCGTGAGTTGACAGAATTCAATTGCACTCCGTATATTTTACAACGCGGCATTGATTACACAGCTTGCACCGTGTCGCTTGCGCCACATAGCTTGCGCCACAGAGCTTGTTCAACGTATTTCGCACCATGTAGATTGCACCGCGTAGCTTGCGCCAATTAGCTTCCACCACGTAGCTTTCCTCACGTAGCTTACACTACGTATTGTACCACGATGTGTGCACCACACAGCTTGCACCACATCGCATGTACCACATAGCTTGCACCACATAGCGTGCACCACGTAGATTGCACCACACAGCTCGCACCATGCGGCTTAGATCACAGAGCTGGTTCCGCGTATACTGGGCTCCTTAGGTTGCACGCCGTGGCTTGTTCCATTTTAGCTTGCACCTCACAGCGTGAACCACATTACTTGCACCACGTAGTTTGTGCCGCGTAGCTTGTTCGACATAGCACAACCCAGCTTGCACCACATGGCTTGCACCATATAGCTTGTACCGCAGATGTTGCACCACATAGTTTGCACCACATAGTTTGCACCACGTAGTAGCTTACACCACGTAGCCCACGCCTGACAATTTGCACTACACAGGTGTCGCCACGTAGTGTGCACCACGTAGATTGAACCACATGGCTTGCACCACGTAACACGCGCCACACATTCTGCACCACGTAACATCGCTTACATCACATGGCTAGTTACACCCCGGCTCACATCAATTGTGCATGCATTCATTTCGGGGCGCACGCTGGCGAGCATGCTTCGTAAGTGATCGGATGGGACTTCTGGGTTTTCAGCCAGGGCCCGCCCGCGGGCGCCTCGCGGGCGCCCCGCGCTTGGAAAGTAACTATGCTGATGTTTCGCCTGGTGCCCGACCCGTGAGCGCCTCCTGGACGCTCCTGGGCGCCCCGCGCTGGAGGGGTGTGCCGAGGTTCTGCCTGGTGTGGCGCCTGTCCGTGGGCGCCGCGTGGGCGCCACGCGCTGGGGGGGGGGGCGTGCCGAAGCTGCGCCCGGTGCCCGCCCGAGGGGCGCTTCGTGGGCGCCCCGGCAGCTGATTGCGCCACGTCACGTTGACTGCACCACACAGCTCAGCTCATACCACACAGCTTGCACCACACATGGCACACACAGATGACGACGCACAGATTGCATGCACAACGTTCTGTGCTGCACCAGAAAGCCGTCACCACACAACTTGCACCACGTGGCTGGGGCCATAGAGCAGATTGCACCACATAGCTTGCACTGCATAGAATCCATCACATAACTTGCACCACATAACTTGCACCACATAGCTTGCACCATGTCGATTGCACCACATATATGACGCCATATAGCTTGCACCACATCTTGCAAATCGCAGACTGCACCACGTAGACTGCACCACATACCTTGCATTTCTCGGCTTGAACCACATGGCTTGCACCTAATAGCTCGCACTGCATCTCTGACACCAAATATGCAGTGCAAACACATTTTTTGGTTACCAAATTCCATCATAGTTTAGGCACCCTCCTACTTCAGTGATCGACTGGTTTTCCATTTTCCGTTTCTTTTTCAGAAGGGGGGGGGCGGACACCGAATCTATTTTCAATGCCTTCCGATCTCATGTTTCCACCCCTTTCTTCCGAACGATGGGTAGTCCTTCCTATTCGCCATGGCGCAAACTGGTCTCGAGAACGCGGGGCTTACAGGAAACGGCTCAGGACAAAAAGTTGGTCCTGAGGAAGGCCCCGGGACGCGGGACCCGTTTGCTTCATGTCTTCGGGGGCCTCGAACAGGGGGTTGAGGACCAGGGGTGTGTGCATATCTCATTGCTGGGGCCATGAAATCTCCCAGGCATCATGGCCCCCTCTTCCTCCTCCTCCTCCCTCCTCCCTCCTCCGCCTCCCCCTTCCTCCTCCTCCTCCTGCTCCTTTCCATGCGTTTCGTGGCTCCGTTCATTCATTCCTCGGGCCCAGATGCGCTACCCCCTATGCGGCGCACTCGATGTAGGGTAGTTTCACGAGTGCGAATTTGTTATTGTAGTGGCGTCTGGCCTGTGCCGCCGATCCGGGGCGTTTCCGACGCTGTCGAAGATTTCGGCGATGAAGACGACGATGACGCACGACGAAGGACGAATGTCGACAGAATATCGACGACGACCATTGACGAGAACCAACAACGACGACGAGGACGACTGACGACGACGATGGACGATGCACGGCGAGTGATGACCGACGACCGACGACCAGCGACGACGGCCGACGACGACGATGACGATGTGAAACGACGAACGACGCGCGACGAAAGAGTCCGGGGTTCTAGGAATCGGATCCCGGCTTCGGGTCCTGGGTCCCGGTTCCAGCTAAGGGCTCCCGGGTCCTGGGCCCCGAGCTTTGGGTCCCGGGTTCTGAGTCCCGGGTCACAGGTCCCAGGCTTCGGGTCCCAGCTTCGGGTCCCAGGCCCCGGGTCCCAGGCTCCGAGTCCCGGGTCCTGGGTCCCGTCCCGAGCGTTCGGACTCAGCTCCGGGTCCTGGGTCCCGCGTCCCGCGCTTCGGGTCCGGGCTGCTGATCCCTGGTTCAATTGGGTCCCAGGCTTCGGGTCCCTGGTTCGGGTCTCGGGTCCCGAGTCCTAGACTTTGGGTCCCGGACTCCCCCCCCTGCTTCCCTGCAATGGCCCGCTCGGCCCCACCTCGAGCAGAGCTGAATCTCAGGCTGGCGCGGGAGCGGCCCTGGAAATGGTAGAGCCTCTCCCCTCCCCGAGCGGCCCCGAAAAGGGTAGAACCCCACGCCCCTTCCCCCGGCAGCGCAACCCAGGCACGTCCCCCAGCAGAGCTGTCGAGAGGCCCCGTTCATGGTAGCCCTCCTTTTTCCCGGCGGAGCCCCCCCCCAGCTGCCCCCAAAAGAGTTGACGAGCAACCCCGGAAAAGGAAGACCCCCCCCCCTCCCCCTTTCCCTCGGCAGAGCCACCTGGGCCCCCCCCCAGCAGAGCGGATGAGCGGCCCCAGAAATGGAAGAACCTTCCCCACTTGCCCAGCGGAGCTTCCCCTGGTCCCCCCCCCACCCAGCAGAGCTGAACCTCAGGCGTGTAGATTTTTGAATCTCACACGCTGTATCAGCGGATTTGTACGAGGCACGCCTGGCGTAACAAGCCAGACAATCATGCCCTGAGCAGGCCAGACGTTCCCTGACCATATCATCATGCGGCCCAAACTTGTGGATCCAACACCGTGCCGTTCTTTCTTTTGCCCCTGCTCCTCTCCTCCTAGCCCTGTCTTGCCACCAGGCCCAGGAGACCTTGGGCAAGCCCTTGGTTGACTTCATAACAGTGGATTTCAGGGAGAGTGTCAAGCAAGTCATGTACAACGCCTGCCAGGGCATGGGGACGGACAACTTTGAGTTCTTTTCTCCTCCCTCGTCCAGTCCCCCTTTCCTAATCACTCCCTCATTCCTCCTCTCGTCCCTCAGCTCTCGTCTATCGCCCCTCGTTCCTTGTCCCTCATCCCTCGTCCCTCGTCCGTCATCCCTCGTCCGTCGCCCCTCGTCCACCCTCGCTCTTATTCAGTTCCTCGTCCGTCGTCCCTCGGCCTTGTGGGGATGATCTCCGCATCTGGTCGCTGGCGAGGGAGCCGCTGATCAGGCAGGGGGCCAATCCTATTGGGACGCGGCGGTCGCAGGGAACTCATCCTTGCGAGAAGTTTTTTTGTGTTACGCATATTTGGGGAGGAGGTCTCCAGCACGCTGGGGGTGGCCTACGGTCACGGGCTTGTGGACATCCAGAGCTCCAACGACAGCATCGGTTGGCTCTGACTTGCCGGCACGACGATGGCTCCAGGCTGCCCGCCGACCATCCTCCTCCTCCTCGAGCTGCAGCTGTGTGTTGGCGCCTGGGGCGCTGGCACAGAAGACCCCTCTCAAGGCAAGTTCGGGGCTCCTGAGCTGCCGTGCCGTGAGGAAGCGCCTCGTCAAGGATGCTGACGCACTCGAGCGAGGGGCTGCAGGCAGAGGAGCGGTGTGCTCTGTTAAAGTCACCGCGATGCTCGCCGTGTGGCGTCTTGCCTCGAGAGGAAGGGGATCACGGTCGCCCCAGTCTATCGGGCCAGCAACTTAGGCATCGGCATCGGCGCGTGTCGGCACGCACGCATGAGTCAGCGCCAACGAGTGGTCAAAGGCATGGCCATGCATCAGGACATTGTTCGTTTCGCCAGGGCTTCGTCCCGGTATCATCCAGCCATGCGGTTAGAATCAGCGGGGCCGCGCCCGGCAGGGCACTACGGACACCAGGTCCACGCTGTCTAGAGCAGCAACATGGTTCAGATGAGACAGAGGTTTGCCCACGTCTTGTCCTCAGCCAGGCGAGGGCGTTGCACCACACTAGTCTTGGATTTGAGATTTGATAGCCAGGATCCAGGCTGATCTCTTTCCTGTGCAAGCTTGTGTGTTGTGGCTGTCGTTTTTGTTTGCCACGCACAAGCTCAGAGCGGGGGTCCAGTTGGCATTGCCCAAGGCGGCCGCGAGGCTAGCAGATATCCCAGGGTCTCAGCGCAGTCCTCACGTCAGGGGGCCCACGTCTGCGGTCATTAATCACCCGTTGCAGTTTCAATGGGACCCCGTTTCGGCCACCGAGTGGGGCACCAGGCCCCAAGGTGACCGCTCCAGGGAGGCTTTCGTTTTCGGGGGATATCTGGGCCCAGGCACGGACTTTTCGGATTTACTTCACGAGTTCGAGGACACCATCAAGCGCCAACAATGGGCGTCAGCCTCCTCGCATTTTTGCGGCTCGGGTTTGGAGCAAGGGGCCGACGTCCAGACCTACAGCCCCGAGTCCTGCCCAAATAGGCGCCAGTTGTCAGAGATGCTATTGTGCGTAACTGTCGGAGGCACCCGGCCCAGACAGCGCGTGGCCGACGAAGTGGATTCCGAGGCCTGTCCTCCTGTGCCCGCGCTGCCGCGAGTTTCTTGCGACGCCCGTGCAAAGGGGGTGGATCTGCGCGAAGCATGCAGCGCCACAGGCTTTCGCTGACGTAGCCTCCTCAAAACCCCAATGCTGTCGCCCAGCGCGAGTCTGAGGCCTGCTTTTCAGTCGGGCATGTCCCTCTACAGGAGGAATATTCAAAACTAGTAAAAAATAGTCGGGGGGCGATTTTCGACAATTCTTTGACCATTTTTGAATTTTCGTTGGGCGCTTTATTGTTATGTTTTAATTTTCGCCCAAAATCCACCTGTAGGGGGACATGCCCACGCCCACGCCTACTTTTGACTTCGCGGCATTTTGCCTGCGTCGTGGGCCCAGGGCTCCCCAGCGAACGTCCCCGGAGCAGCGGCTGTGCAGCGGCCTCCTAGGGCCCTCGGGCAGGGTGCTCTCAGGGCAGGGGCCCCGTGCCTTTCCGCCTTTGGTTTTCGCAGGAGGGAAAAAACACACAGACACAAGTCATCGTCGATTCCCTAGGAAAATATGGGAAACAATGGGAAGTGGGGGGGAAGACGAAAAACCCGACAATATGGGAAAATATAGGGGATCCTGTTATTTGTGTGCATTTATTTGTGTGTCCTTGGGCCCCTTCATTCTGGTTTTTGGGGGCGCGAGGGGGGGCCTCGTTTCCAACGAGCCCCTCTAAAGGAGGGTTGGCTTGGGCGTTGCGGTTCCACAGAGCTTCGGAACGTGCAGGGTTCCTGTCAGCCTCGGAGGACCACTGCACGGGAGGGCTCAGACGGCCCCGAGGGGGGAGCTTTTGTCTTTCAATTTGGCCATCGAACTTTCTGCGGGCTTAGTGGTCTACGTGACCGACAACGAACCCGACATGATATCACCAGGGAGAATCATATCCCGATATTCACGGTCGTCTTTCGCCCTTCGGAGGGCGCGAGCGCTTATGACTGCGGCTCGTGGCACAAACGGTTTGCCTGCGCGTGCTAGAAGAGATGTTGCGCGTGATGTCGAGGCGCTACGCAGTGCCACATGAACTGTATGCGCGCGCACTGCGCGCGCATCAGCGGCTTGATGACCGGGTTCTCGGATGCGCCAGGGAACGTCGCGCCTTGGGGCGTGCCGCGGGACTCAGGGGCGGTGCTGCCGCGAAGGGGGATTCGAACGTGAGCGTCTCCCCACAGGGGCCCCCCTCCCAGCGCACCAGTCGGCGATCTCAGGGATACGCGTTCCTGGGGGTGGTATCTGTTTGCTGAAGAATGCATTGCAGCATCAGTGAGTGGCCGCACTCCGTAACTATTTAAGCTCGAGAGCTTGTGCTAATTGTGGCTACCCTCGGCATCCCTCCGGCGGTCCATGCAGGCGGGGGCACTGGCGGAGTTCCTCACGACCGAGGCGCTGCGCTGGGCGGGGCTCTCCTCGCTTTTCCTGGCGAGCCGCTGCCCCGAGGTGCCGCCATGCCCCGCGGCGCCGCCCTGCCTGGAGTTCCCCGAACTCCCGGCCTGCCCGGCCTGCCCGGGGGCGCCGCTTGTCCCCCCGAAGGCCGCGGCGCCCGCCGCGGGCTGGTGGGCCGAGGCCGCCTTGGCGGGCATCGTCGCCGGGGTGCTGGCGTGCGCGCTCATCCTCTGGGCGTCGGGCTGGAGCCGCCCGCGGCAAGCGGATCCTGGTTTCGTGGGCGAGGCCGCCCCAGCCGTCGGCTGTGCGACGCCCGGTGGCGATGGCGGCAGCGGGCGCAGTTGTGGCGCTGCAGCCGCAGCAGATCCAGGAGTGGGCCTTCGTGCTCTACGCGGTGCCGGGGCCCCTGGTGTACCACCAGCGCCGGGTGCTGGCGCGCGGTGTGCTCGGCGATTGATCTCGGGGTGTTTCTGGTCGGGACGCCCGACCTCGTCGTGTACGAGGGGGACTACCGCCCGGGCTCGCTGGGCCGCGACATCGTTCAGGTGACGTTTGGTGCGTCCCGCTGGCCGCCGCCGCCCGCCTTCCCGAGGCCGCAGGTGTACTGGTTCCGCGACGACCTCTCGGGCCTCGAGATGGCGGCCATGCATGGCGCGGCTCAGGTCCAGGCCGAGAGGCTTTGGGCGGCGGCGGATCTCGCCGCGGGCGGCGCCGGCGCGCCTGTGCCCGCGGACGTGTTCGTGCCCTTCCCGGCGATCGCGGGAGTGCTGGCGGCTGTGCCGGGCGGCGGGGCCCCCGCGCTCGGGCCGGCGCCCGGGGGGCCGGGCGCGCCATTTCCCATCGCGGGGGCGCCAGCCCCCATCGCGGGCGGGGCCCTCGCGCTGGCCGGCCTGGCTGCAGCGCCGCCCCCCGCGGCCCCCACCGCCGCGCCGCCGCCGGCGCCCGCCGCGGCCGCGGCCGCGCCGGCGGCGCCCGCGGTCGCGCCCGCTCGCGCGCAGGCGATCCCCGACGGGCTCCTGGTGGCACCTGGTGGTCGTGCCCGCCACCGGGGTGGTGCCGCCGGGCTGGAGCTGAAGGGCAGTCGAGGACCTGCCCGGGCTGGAGACCTACGGCGATGTGGTGGCGGGGGGGCCCACGCTGGCGGGCGGCGCTGGCCGGCGCCAGGGTGCTCTGCTGCCGAGCGGGCATTCCGTCTTCGTGGCGCTCGCGTCGGACGGCGAGGTGGCGAACCTGAAGAAGGAGTTCCGCAGGAATGCCGCCCGCGCCCTGGCCGTGGAGCGCTCCGCTGTGGGGCGAGAGCGGCCCTGGACGTCGGTGGTCGCGGACTGCAGGGAGGAGCAGATTGCCGACTTTGGAGTGAAGCCGCCTCGTTCGGCGAAATGGTGTGCGGCCTATCAGCTGAAGAACGGCGGCCCGGTTCTCCACTCTGAAATGTGGGCGACTCGCCGCCGCCTGCGGGGCGCGGATTTCGGCGTCTCGGAGCACGAAACTTTGAGCAAGATGGTCGAGACCCTTGGCATGATAGACCAAGTGGACATCTACAACCTAGCTGGCGTGGAAGTGGCCTACCGAAAGCTCCAGCTGATCGGGTGCTGCTGGGATGAGCGACGGCAAGAGCAGCAACGGGCGAAGTCCAAGCTTGCTCTCGATGAGGTACAGGCCTTCTTGGGCGGGGGCCGCGCCCCGATCATGATGTGCCCAGAGCTGCTGGGCCAGGTCGCGAAGGAGCTGGAGCGCGTAGCTGGCATCAAGAAGAATGCGAGGACACTATGGGGTGAGCAGGCCGCCCTGGCCAAGAAGGCTTCTCCCGCGAAGTCATGATGCAGCACGCGCCGCCTAGGCTCCCCCACCCAGGTGGCCTGACACCGCGGGGGGAGGCGGCTGCTGGGCCCGACCGCAACCGGTCCCTGCTGCCGCTGCCGGTGCCGTCCTGGTGCAGGGCTGCTGCCGGCCGCGAGACTCGCGCCGGTGCGCCCGCCGCCGGGCGGTCAGCTGGGCGCCGCGGGCGCGCGCGCGCGTGCGCGCTGCATCGCCGGGCGGGCCTGCTTTGCGAGATGATTCAGATTCTGAACCAGATGGATGCTGGGGGGGGCGACCTTCGGCGCCGACCCCTGGATGGCCCGCGCCGTATACAGGAGCTGGCGCTGGCGCACCTCACCGACTGCCGCGCGAAGTTCGGCGGCCCACCGCCTGACTTGACGGCTGACGCAGCCCTCCGGGAGCTGCAAGCCAGCTCAGCTTATGGGGCCGATGAGCCTCAGGCGCTGGCACCTTTGAGTTTCGACCTCGTCTCGCTCCCCAAGGCGGGCGCGCAGCCGCGTCCTCTCGAGGAGCTCCTCGGACGGGGCGGTCTTGTTTTTCTCAGAGCACCCAGTCGAGATCTGGGGGCCCCTGTGGGGGTTCCCACCTGCGTGACCGTGGCCGCCACCTTCGTGGTTTCATGGGGGCCCATGGGGCGGGGGGGCATTGGCACCCAGTCGAGACCCCGCGGGTCCCTGTGGTGGCTGCCATTTGCGCAAGTGCTGCTGTGTTCGTGGGCTCCTGGGAGGTCCAGCGGAGCGGGGGGACACGGGCACCCAGTCGAGACCTCGCGGCTCCTGTAGGGGGCTGCCACATTCGCAACTGGCGCAGCTCCAGTGAGCCTCTGGAAGACCCAGCGGAGTGCGTGGAAGCGCGGATCTTGTCGAGACCTTGCGGTTCCTTGAGGGGTCTGCGAACTGTTCACTTGTCGCCACTTTCGAGGGTTCCCGTGAGCTTCAACGGAGCGGCGAATTGAAACGGTCCAAAGTAGATCTCGCCTCCTCGGGGGTGCCACCTGCGCAACTGCATTCAGTTTCGCTTGCCCCTGGGAGGTCCAGCGGAGCGAAACGCTTCGAATCGAACCAGCGGTCCTCGCCTCACTGGGGCCTCTACCGTGTAGCTTTTCAAAGCGGTCTTCGTTTCTTTCAAGCCGTTGCCGTAGTAATATGGCCCCTTGTTTTGATCACTTGTTGCGCAGATGGGTTACGTACGTTGCCGGGCAAGCTTTAGTTCGTGTTGATAGAACCCCCAAACACTCAAAACATGGAGAAACACACGTCCTCGTGCCCTCTGCTTTCTCCTCCTCTTCCATGCTTCCCGTCCTGCCTCGTCGCACAGAGGGGCTCCTGGGCATTGGGGTGCATCGGGGTTGAGGTCCGAGGTCACGTCACAGCTACTGCCCAGGCCAGCTCCCCGTTGAGACTGGAACAGGTGGAACTCCAAACCCTCCCTCCCTCCCTCCCTCCTACCCCACTCCTGTCTCCCCCTCCCCCTCCTCCCGCCTCCCCTCGCCTCTTCTGCTCCTCCTCTCTCCTGCTCTCCTCCTCCCTCCCTTCTCCTCCCTACCCCTCCCTCTTCCTTCACCCGCTCTTTCCCTTTTCTCCTCCTTCCCTCCCCTCCAGCGCTCCCCTCCTCCAAATGCCCTCCCGTTCGAGGTTCCCTCTCATCACGCGGGCCGGGAAGCAGATCGACCTCCTGCTCAACGCCGCCTGCCGACTGGACGCCAAGGGCAACGTCACGGGCGTGATCGGCGTGGGGCAGGATGCGCTCGGCGTCAGCTTGCTCTCCTGCTCCTGCCAGTCCCCGTCCTCCTGCTCCTCCCCGCCCTCCTCCCCTTCAGCCTCCTGCCCGCCTCGTGGACCCACCGAGCCGGGGTCCGAGGTGCTCAGCCGCTGGTCCAGGGGCCTCACTCCCAGGGGCAGGCGCCCCCTTCCCGCAGAGCTGATGCGCTCGCCTGTGCCCTGTCCTGACCAGGTCTCCACGGCTCTCCAAGCCAAGACCTCTTCAACCTCTCTCCCAGGAGCCTGGGACCTCCAGTGCTTTCCAGGGACATCTGCGGGCCTCTGGAGCTCACCGGGAGCCTCCGGTGGCGTCCAGAGACGCTCAGGGGGCCCAAGAGAGACCCCGGGGGACGTCCAGCGGCCTCTGGAGACCTCCTCCTCCTGACACTGCAGTGGATCGCAATCGTTCTTGTCCCGTCCTGCCCTCCTCCCCTTCTGCATCTTGATCGTTGCCATCTTTCCTGCTCCTCCCCCCCCCGCCCCTGCTCCTCCCCCTCCACTTTAGCTTCTGCTCTTCCTGACCCCACCCTCCTGTGCTGCTCCTGCTCCCACCCCTCCCCGGGGAAGGGAGGCAGGGAGGCAGGGAGGGCCGCTGGGTGCCTGCCCTTTGCGGCCGAGGACATCACAGTGCTGCGGCAGGCCATCTCCGAGAGCAGCCGCATCGCGGACGACCTGTCGCGCCTCATCGACACGGCCAACGCCCCGATCCTCGGCGTCGACGTGGTCGGCTGCGTGACCGAGTGGAACCAGAAGTCGGCGGAGATATCCGGCTGGACGAAGCAGGAGGCGGTTCGGGGCACAGCGCGAACCCTGGGGGAGTGGGGGCCGCAGGTGGGCGGAAGCCGTCGGAGGTTCTCAGGGCCTGGGGTGGCCCCCGTCAGCCGCACCTCGTCGAGGACGTCCAGGGACGCCGGAATCGTCCCGAACGGCCGCCCGAGGCCCGAGTTAGCTCGAAAACCAAGAGGAGGGGCAGTGAGGGGTACAGCGGAGACCCATGCCAAGAGACACCCTGCTTGCTTCCAGGGTGCCTTGTGGGTTTCCTGGGTTTTGATGGCTTTGCTATGGAAAACGTGACGTTCCCACACCAAGAAATCAATGGGCGTCCTAGGGTCTCAGGGTTGGGTTTCTTGTGGAAGGTTTCTTGTGGACTGGGCTCCACTGTAGGCCTACGTTGGGTGGAGGGTTTCTCCGAAGGGATTAGGCGACCCGTCCTCCTCCTACTCCTCCTCCTCCTCCTCCTCCTTTTCCTCCTCCTCCTCCTCCTCCATCTTCTCCTCCCACTCCCTTTCCTCCACCTCCTCCTCCTCCTCCTCCTCCTCCTCCTCCTCCTCCTCCTCGGGTCGCCTACGGCCCCGGGGGGAACGGGGTACCCGCATCCTGTCTTATCCTTTGGCCATTTCTTTTTTTGGAGTGGGTGGGGCCCAAAAACGCCTCTTGTTTCTCCGGGTTCTTCTTGGGCCCCATCCTTTCCAGCTCAGCACCCAGCGGAGCGTCATTCCTGCTTGAAAGCCCAACGGGCCTCGTCCAGGGAGAAGCGCTTCCCGATGATCCTCTCATCTCGAGGTCGTCATCACCGGAGGGTGGGGGAGGAGGGCAGGCGCTGGGCAAGAAGCTCGTGGACCACTTCATCTCCAAGGAGTCCGAGTCGCACGTCGGCGAGGCGCTGTCCCGAGCCCTCGCCGGCGAGGAGACGGGCCCTGGGCGCCTCTGCGAAGAGCCCGCAGCGCTCCGCGTGTCTTCCCCAGCCTCCCTGTGGAGCCGGGCCCTCGGTTCCACTCCTTTCCTTACCTTCGTCCTTCTTCTCGCAGGAGGGGAAACAGCACACAGACGCAACTGATCCTCGATCCCCCAGAAAATATGGGAAAATACGGGAAGGGGGGGGGAAGACAAAAACCCAGAACATATGGGAAACATGGGGAATCTTGTTATTTGTGTGTGTTTACATGTGTGTCCCAGGGCCCCTTCATTCTCGCACACACCCTCATGTCGGCACGCTCCTCACACTTTGCGCGACTCCTCACATGAGCTCCAGCACCCCGCGGCCGCTGCCGCGAGGAAAATTGCGCAGCGCGGGCGCTTGTAGCTTGGCTTCTCGTGAGGGCACTGCTTCCAGATCCCTCGCCCTCTCAGGAGACGGCTCACTACGACTTCCCCCTGCTCGGCAAGAACGGCCGCACGTGTGAGATCCTGCTGAACGCCACGCCCCGCCGCGGCGCGGGAGGCGAGATCATCGGCGTGATCGGCGTGGGCCAGGACATCACCGAGCTCCGGAGCGTGATTGAGCAGCAGCGCAGCGTCGCGGAGGACCTGAGCCGCTTCATAGAAACCGCCAACGCCCCGATCTTCGGCGTGGACCGGGACGGCAAGGTCAACGAGTGGAACCAGAAGGCGGCGACCATGACGGGCTACACCAAGGACGAGACCAAGGCAGGGCCGAGAAGACCAGAAGGGCCCGCTGCCGCTTGCCCCGTCGCCATGTCCCCCGCCCTCCACCCTCTCCTCCCTCCCTTGTCTTCGGTAGCAAATCATGGGAGCCTTGTATACTCTCGCGATTCCGTCTTTCGCGTCGATTGGCGTCGAGTAGCGTCTGGGAGTGGATGAGATGTCGCCGACGTAGCGTCGGTTAGCGTCGATTTAGCCTCGATCATCGTCGATTTAGCGTCGACTAGCGTCGATTCGCAAGAGCCGACAAGATGGTATGGGAGGCTCCCATGAGTTGCCACCGAACTCGTGCTCCCAACCTTCCTGTCCCCTCCTCCCCCGATGGGCCTCTCCCCTGTTCCTTCGCTCCCCCCCAATCCCTGCGCCACTCCCCTCTTTCCCCCGTTGCTCTCTCTCTTTTTCTCTCTCTCTCTCTCTCTCTCTCTTTTTTCCTCTCTCTCTCTCTCTCTTTCTCCCTCCCTCTCGTGATCCCGCCCGGTCTTTTCCTTCCTCCCTCCCTGCCCCCTTCTGCCCTCCTCGCTTGCTCTACCCCTGCTTTTTTTTTTTTTTTTTTTGTTCTCTCTCTCTCTCTCTTTCGCACCTGCGCTTCCCCTCTTCCCTTTCCTCTCCCTCCTTATCCCGCCTCCTCCCCTCCTTCTCCACCTCCACCGCCCCTCCCCTCACCTCTCGGCCTCCCAATCTTCTGTCCATCTCGGACCCTCTTGGATGCCCTCCTCTCCCTCCTCCTTTCTCCTCCTCCTCATGATCCTTCTCCGCCTCTTCCTCCTCCTCCTCCTCCTCCTCTTCTCCTCTTATGCCTCTCCTCCTCCTGCTCCTCCTCCGTCTCCTTCTCCTCCTCCTTCTCCGAAAAAGGGTCCTCGCGTACGCACCCCGCGTGAGGCCGCACGCTCAAGCGCCCTCTTCCTCCACGCGTGCTGCGGGTTCCGAGCGAGGTCGCTGTGTCCTCTTGCGTGAGCTCCCTTTCGTTTTCGCCGCCCGTGGGGGTCTGAGAGGGTTCGGAGAGGGGCAGTGAAATTTTTGCTTCTTTTTTTTTTTTTTCCCACTCAGCGGTATGGGGTCCCACATGTTGGGGCCCCTGAGCTGCTGCGCATTCATTGGTCAGTCCGTGGAACCAGGCCGCACGACGCATCGGCCAACCAGCATGGGATTCATAATAACAGTGCTGGCCCATGCAGGCTCAAAAGGAGCATGTCTGGGCAACGAGTCTCCACCGTGCATGGTATCCCGACCCATGCTCTGTGTGCAGTGTTTTGCGAGAAATTTTACATGTCTGGACGGAATGGAAGACGGAGAAACACATCATGCAGCGGGATGGCGTTCCAGTTGCGACCCCCCCTTCCCCTCTCGAGCGAGCCCTGGCGAGGGGCAGCCCCTGGTGGCCAATTTCATCATCCCCGATTACCAGGACGGCGGCGCCGCGGCTCTTTTCCAGAGGACGAGGAGTATGAGGGAAGGTTGGAAGAAAGGAGAACGAGGGAGGGATGATGGTCGGATGGATGGATGGATGGATGGAGGGATGCGTGGATCGACAGATGGATGGATTTTATCAAAACCGCAGCAGTTATTGCCCTCCCCCCTTTCGGCGAAGCTATATCGCTTCTCGTCCCCTGGAAGTGGCATCCCGTCCCCGGACCTCTCAGTGCGGAATTCAACCAACTCTTAATAGGGTTCCAGCAAGACCATGATCGGATTCCAATGAGAAACCAAGAGGATTGCAACACGAAGCCAGTTAGGTCCCAATCGGATTCCAATTGGATTTGTCGGGGTTTTGGACTGTCGGCCGTGTTGAGGCTTCTCTTGGGTTGTTTTACACCTCTTACCCCCCCGCCCGCGGAGTCATTTGACGAATTAATTTGTCGGGGTGGTCGATATCGCTTGGTGGTTCCCTCCTCGGAAAGTAATTGATTAGTTTGATAACGCCGGTGGGATCGGTCATTGCTTCTTGCAGTTCGTTGGGTGGAGCAGAAGGAGGGGAGGGGAGCGAGGATGAGGATGAGGATGAGGAATGATGATAATGGTGATGAAGAAGAAGAAGCAGATGATGACGATGATGATGATGCTGATGATGATGATTCTGATGCTGCTGATGATGATGATGATGATGCTGGTGCTGATGCTGATGATGATGAGGAGGAGGAGCAAGACATGCAGGAGGAAGAGGAGGATGAGGATGAGGATGCGTATGATGATGGCGACGACGATCAGGACGAGGAGGAGGAGGACGTGGAGGAGAAGGAGGGGGAGGAGGAGGTGGGGGAGGAGGAGGAGGTGGAGGAGGAGGAGGAGGAGGAGGAGGAGGAGGGGGAGGAGGCTGGTGAGGGATGACGCGATGAGGAAGACAATGAGGAGGAGGAGGAAGATGATGAGAAGGAGGAGGATGACGAGGAGGAGGAGTGTGCCAGTGGGGCAGGAGGAGGCGGAGGAAAAGGAATAATAACATGACCATGAGAGATGATGGCGATCGCGATGCCGACGAGGAATAATGATTACGATGATGATGGACGATGATAATTTTGATGATGACGATGACGAGGATGATGGTGGTGAGGATGATGACGAAGATGACGATGATGATGCTGATGTTGATGATAATGTTCATGGTGACAATGATGACGATGATGATGACGATGATGATGATGCTGGTGATGATGATGTTGATGACGATGATGCTCATGATGCTGATGCTGATGCTGGTGATGATACTGACGATGACGATGACGATGACGCACGACGACGATGATGCTGACGATGAAAACGATGATGATCCTGATGATGACGATGATGATGGTGATGATGATGATGCTGACGATGATGGCGATGATGACGCTGATTCTGATGACGATGTTGATGCTGCTGATGATGATGCTGTTGTTGTTGAGGATGCCGCTGCTGCTGAGAATGATGCAATGCTGATGCTGATGATGGCGATGCTGATGTTGATGATGATGCTGATGGTGACGATGATGACGACGATGATGATGATGCTGATGATGATGCTGCTGCTGATGATGATGGTGATGGTGACGAGGATGACGATGATGATGCTGAAGATGATGCTGTTGATTAGACTGATGATTCTACTTATGATGATGATGCTGATGCCGATGATGATGGCCGTGATGGTGGGGATCTTGATTGTGCTGACGCTGTTGCCGTGGCTGCGGCTGATGATGATGACGATGCTGATGATGCTGATGATGAGGAATCTGAGGATGATGATGCTGATGATGATGATGATGAGGATGCTGCTGCTGATGATGATGATAGTGATGCTGATGATGATGATGATGATGATGCTGCTGCTGCTGATGATGATGATGATGATGATGACGTTGTCACCGCTGCTGCTGCGGATGCTGCCGCTGCTGATGATGCTGCTGCTGATGATGCTGATGATGCTGTTGGGGATGATGAGACTGCGGCTGCTGCTGCAGCTGGTGATGCTAATGCTGAGGCTGTTGCCGCGGGTTCTGATGCTGATGCTTCTGCTGATGATGCTGCTGCTGACGTTGTTGTCGTTGTTGCTGTTGTTGCTGCTGTTGCTGCTGTTGTTGTTACTGTTGTTGTTGTTGCTGCGGCTGATGCTATTATTGTTGTTATTGTTGTTGTTGTTGTGTTGTTGCTGTTATTGTTGATGATGATGATGATGATGATGATGATGATGATGATGATGATGATGATGATGATGATGACAATGCTGCTGATGGTGGTAGTGGTGGTGATGATGCTACGGATTCTGCTGATGCTGATGATGATGATGCTGAACATGATGAGGATGAGGACGAGGGTGATGACGTTGATGCTGCTGAGTATGATGCTGATGCTGCTGCTACTGCTTCTGATGATGATGCTGATGATGATGCTGATGATGCTGATCGTGATGCAGGTGGTCGTGACAATGACAATAACACTATTATGGCCATCACGATGGTGATGCGAATAAGGATGATGACGGCTGTGCGGGCGATGCTGCAGATTTTAGGGGTGGTGGTGGTAATGATGATGACGATGACTATGATTATGATGATGAGGACGATGGTGGTTGTGAGGACGACTTCGTATGGCGATGTTGTCGATGATGGTGATGATGATGCTGATGATGCTGATGATAATGATGATTATGATGATGACGATGATGCTGATGATGATGATGCTGATTTCGATGGTGATCCTGACGATAACGATGCGGATGCTCATGGTGATGATGACGGGTGATGATGATGCTGGTGATGATGATGATGATTGTGATGCTGATGCTGCCGGTGATGATGATGCTGATGCTGATGCTGCTGATGATGCTGCTGCTGATGATGATGATGCTGATGATGGTCGGGATGACCGGGATGTTAGGGAGGTTGATGGTGATGATTCTGCTTTCGCTGATGTTGTTGCTGATGAGGATGATGACGATAATGCCCATGCTGCTGCTGATGATGCTTATGATGATGGAGATGGTGATGATGATGCAGAGGTTGATGATTCTGCTGCTGCTGATGATGATGATGATGATGGCGAGGATGTTTATGATGATGATATTTGTGGTGATGATGGTGGTGATGATGCTGATTTGATGATGGTGAAACAGATGCTGATGCGGATGATGATGATGATGATGATGATGATGATGATGATGATGATGATGATGATGTTGCTGATGCTTGTGACGAGGATGCCGACAATGATGATGTTGGTGATGATGCTACTGACGATGATGATGATGATGATGATGATGATGATGATGATGATGATGATGATGATGATGATGATGATGATGCGGATGATGATTATGGTGCTGATGCTAATGGTGGTGATGATGATGCTGATGCTGATGCTGATGATGATGCTGATGATGCTGCTGATGACGATGATGTTGATGATGCTGGTAATGATGGTGATGATGTTGACGCTAATGTTGATGCTGATGATGCTGCTGATGATGATGATGATGCTGCTGCTGATGATGATGCTGATGATGCTGATGCTGCTGCTGTCGATGATGATGATGATGAGGAGGATGAGGAGGAGGAAGAGGAGGAGGAGAAGGAGGAGGATGAGGAGGAGAAGGAGGATCAGGAGGGTGAGGAGGAGGAGGACGAGGAGGAGAAGAGGACGAGGAGGAGAAGGAGGAGGAGGTGGAGGAGGAGGTGGAGGAGTTGGAGGAGTTGGAGGAGTTGGAGGAGGAGGAAGAGGAGGAGGAGGAGGAGGAGGAGGAGGAGGAGGAGGAGGAGCGAGGAAGACGAGCGAGGTGGAGTGAGGGACGGGACGCAGATCGAGGACGAGGCTGGGTGAGGGAGGGAGGGAGGGAGGCAGGGATGGACCTCCGCGCCCATCCCCTCCCCCCCACTCCTTTTCCCTTCCGCCCCCCCCCCCCTCCCCTCCCTGCGCACCTTCCCTCCTCCCTCCCTTCCTCCTCCCCCAGCGCACGCTGCCTCTCCTCCCCCTCCGCTCCTGGGACCCTTGCCATCTGGCGCACTGTGATCGCACCCCCAGACCGCCAGGACGCCGTGCACGGGGTCCTGGGGAACGCCCTGCTCGGCAGCGACACCTCCAACTTCGAGTTCCCGCTGACCACGAAGAGCGGGCTCCAGGCGCGCTCTCGGTGTGGCGGTGTGCTGGGAGGAGGGATGGGGGGGGGAGCGATAGACATGAACCACACACATACACACATATATATATATATATATATATATGTACTTACATTCATACATACATACGTACACACATACATATACGCATACACATACATGCATACATACATCCATACATCCATACATACACATATACACATGCACACACACACCTACACCCATATCTATACATACGCATATACAAACATACGTGCATGCATTCATACATATATACATACATACACATACACACACGCACACATACATATAGGTATGCAGGTATGCATACATACATACACAACACACACACGTATACTCAATCACACAAGCATACATGCATGCACACACATACACATACGCACATCCATCCATACACACATACACACACGTGCATACGCACACATAGGTACACCCACACGCACACGCATACACACGTACATACATACGTGTATGCGTATACACATACATGTATATATACACATACTTATATACCCGTTTACATACATGTATACATGCATGCATATATATATATATATATATATATATATATATACATATGGTAGCCCCCCCACATGATCATACATATTTCTTTTTTTGCTACTACTCTTCCTCGCGCGCCCTGGGGGGGGGAGGGCCTGGGGCTTCCTGGGGCTTCCTGAGGCCTCCTGGGCTTCCCGAGTCTTCCGAAACGCTTCCTGGGACTTCCCGAAGCCTCCTGGGGCTGCCGGAACACTGCCCTGGTGAAAAACGTTGTGTTTTCCTGATATTCCTGACCTTCCCAGGGATTACCCCTGAGAAAACGCTGTGTTTTCCTGATATTCCTGATATTCCTGAGATTTCCAGAGACTACCCAGGCGCCGAGGCCTCCTGGGGCTGCCGAAACATTGCCCTGGTGGAAAACGTTGTGTTTTCCTGATGTTCCTGACCTTCCCAGGGATTACCCCTGAGAAAACGCTGTGTGTTTCCTGATATTCCTGATATTCCTGACATTTCCAGAGACTACCGTGAGCCTGCAGGGTAGTCTCTAGAAATGTCAGGAATATCAGGAATATCAGGAAAACACAGCGTTCTCTCAGGGGTAATCCCTGGGAAGGTTAGGAATATCAGGACAACACAGCGTTTTCCACCAGGGCAATGTTTCGGCAGCCCCAGGAGGCCTCGGCGCCTGGGTAGTCTCTGGAAATGTCAGGAATATCAGGAATATCAGAAAAACGCAGCGTTTTCTCAGGGGTAATCCCTGGGAAGGTCAGGAATATCAGGAAAACACAGCGTTTTTCACCAGGGCCATCTCTGGGAAGATCTTGGAAATCTGGAAAATCTGGTAAACGGTATTTTTTCAAGAGCAGGAGGATGATAATCAAACCGTGTAGCTTCAACAGGGCAGCGTTGGCCGTCGGCTGCCCCCCGTCAGTTGTGAACGCAGCTCCCCAATCAGTTCTGCGAGCAGCCTCCTGCTACGAAACATTACTCGCAAAACTAGCTGTGAACGCCGCTCCACACTTAGTTTTGTGAGTGATGTCTTCCTCCTCACCCTCGTCATGCTCCTCACCCTCCTCTTCTTCCTCCTCCTACTCCTCCTGCTCCTCCCCATCCTTCCTCCTCCTTCTTTTCTTCACTCAACCCCACCTCTCCGCTTCATGGCGTCACTCACAAATCTAGTTGCGAACGCAGCTCCGCAACCAGTTTTGCGAGCAGCCTCCTGATAAGAGACATTACTCGCAAATCTAAATGTGAACGCCGCTCCACACCTAGTTTTGTGAGTAAGGTGTTGCTCCTCACCTTCGTCATGCTCCTCACCCTCCTCTTCTTCCTCCTCCTACTCCTCCTGCTCCTCCCCCCTTCCTCCTCCTTCGTTTCTTCACTCTACCCCCACCTCTCCGCTTCGTGGCGTCACTCGCAAATCTAGTTATGAACGCAGCTCCACAACCAGTTTTGTGAGCAGCCTCCTGCTACGAAACATTACTCGCAAAACTAGCTGTGAACGCCGCTCCACACCTAGTTTTGTGAGTAAGGTGTTGCTCCTCACCTTCGTCATGCTCCTCACCCTCCTCTTCTTCCTCCTCCTACTCCTCCTGCTCCTCCCCCCTCCTCCTTCTTTTCTTCACTTTACCCCCACCTCCCCGCTTCGTGGCGTCACTCGCAAATCTAGTTGTGAACGCAGCTCCCCAATCAGTTCTGCGAGCAGCCTCCTGCTACGAAACATTACTCGCAAAACTAGCTGTGAACGCCGCTCCACACCTAGTTTTGTGAGTAAGGTGTTGCTCCTCACCTTCGTCATGCTCTTCACCCTCCTCTTCTTCCTCCTCCTACTCCTGCTGCTCCTCCCCCCTCCTCCTTCTTTTCTTCACTTTACCCCCACCTCTCCGCTTCGTGGCGTCACTCACAAATCTAGTTGTGAACGCAGCTCCCCAATCAGTTCTGCGAGCAGCCTCCTGCTACGAAACATTACTCGCAAAACTAGCTGTGAACGCCGCTCCACACCTAGTTTTGTGAGTGATGTCTTCCTCCTCACCCTCGTCATGCTCCTCACCCTCCTCTTCTTCCTCCTCCTACTCCTCCTGCTCCTCCCCATCCTTCCTCCTCCTTCTTTTCTTCACTCAACCCCACCTCTCCGCTTCATGGCGTCACTCACAAATCTAGTTGCGAACGCAGCTCCGCAACCAGTTTTGCGAGCAGCCTCTTGATAAGAGACATTACTCGCAAAACTAAATGTGAACGCCGCTCCACACCTAGTTTTGTGAGTAAGGTGTTGCTCCTCACCTTCGTCATGCTCCTCACCCTCCTCTTCTTCCTCCTCATACTCCTCCTGCTCCTCCCCCCTTCCTCCTCCTTCGTTTCTTCACTCTACCCCCACCTCTCCGCTTCGTGGCGTCACTCGCAAATCTAGTTGTGAACGCAGCTCCACAACCAGTTTTGTGAGCAGCCTCCTGCTACGAAACATTACTCGCAAAACTAGCTGTGGACGCCGCTCCACACCTAGTTTTGTGAGTAAGGTGTTGCTCCTCACCTTCGTCATGCTCCTCACCCTCCTCTTCTTCCTCCTCCTACTCCTCCTGCTGCTACGGCTCCTGATCACTCAGCCCCCTCCTCTCCACTTCGAGGCGTTACCCTCCAATCTAATTGCGAATGCAACTCCACAACAAACCTTGCGAGCAACCTTCCGCTACGAATCAGTATTCACAAAACTTGTTGTGAACGCCGCTCCGCAGCTAGGAAGAGGCGGTGGAAAATGGGGGAGGATGTTGCTCAACTATGGCTGGTGCCACTGGAGTGCCACTGGAGCTCGGCATTCACCAGATGACGCGGAGGAGGAGGAGGAGAACAAGGGGCTCAATTTTGAGGAGTAGGGCAAATATGGTTTGGAGGAGAAGGTGGAGGATGAGGTGGTGGAGGGGGAGGAGGAGGAGACGATGAACAGGAGGACAAACATTGGGATGACGAGGAGAAGGAGGAGGAGGAAGAGGTGAATGAGGATTCAGAGAAGGAGGAGAAGGAAGAATAGTAGGAGGATTCCGATGAGGAGGACAAACATGAGGGAGAGCTTGAGGAGAATTTAAAGAAGGAGGAGGGGAAGAGAAGCAGGAGGAGGACAATGAGATTAAATTTGCGGAATCGGAATAGGAGGAGGGCAACATGCCGAAGAGGAGATGGAGGAGGATTCAGAGAAGGAATATGAAGAGGACAAGGAGGAGGAGGAGGAGGAGGAGGAGGAGGAGGAGGAGGAGGAGGAAGAGGAGGACAAGGAGTTTGAACATGACAGGGGGTATGAGGAGGAGAATGATGAGGACAAACATGAGGAAGAAGTGGATGAGGATTCATAGAATGAGGAGGACGAGGGGAAGGAGAAGGAAGAGGAGGAGGAAGAGAAGAGTTGAGGCCAATGCATTTGATTTTGAAGCGGAGGGGGAAGAAAACAAACATAAGGAGGAAGAGGATGTGGAGGAGGATTGGGAGACGGTAGAGGAGGAAAATGAGGAGGAGGACGAGGAGGACAAGGCGTTTGGTATCGAGGAGGAGGAGGAAGAGGAGGACGAGGAGGAGAGGACAATTATGAGGAGAAGGTGGAGAAAACTTCAAAGAAGAAAGATGAGAAAGAGAAAGAGAGGGAGGGGGAGCTTGAGGTTGAGAAGGAGTAGGATGCTGAGGAGGAGGAGGAGGAGGCATCATAAACATGAGATGGTGAGATTGGATTGCAATGCGCCGCGAAAGACTGAAGTCGCTTCGCGCTGAAGTGTTTGGATTGCAATCGACGGAATTGCGGTTTGCAACGTAGCAAACCATCATGAAGAAAAACAGGAGGAAGGAACGGGTTATGATGACTGGAGGGATGATGGGAGAATGTGTATGATCATGTGGGGGGGGGGGGGGAAGCACATATATATATATATATATATATATATATATATACCCTTGCAGGTTTATACACAGACATCCGTGCACGCTCACAAACATGCATACATCGCTACATGCATTTACCAATGCGTACATGCATGCATCCATACATACGTGCATACATAATACATCCATCCACCCACCCATCGATCCATACATACATACACACATCAATTCATGCATCCATCCATCCATACATACATACATCATACAAACAAGCAAGCATACATACATACATACATTGTCGCATACATACATACATACATACATACATACATACATACACACATACATGCATACACATACATATTTACATACATACATACACACAATTCTACACATACATACACATATGTCACTGTGGGGAGTCTGGGTGGCCCCGGACGATTTACCTGGGAATCGCGCTCTCGTTCGGGACGTTCTGACAATTTTCGCAGGCGCTGCGCTTGCGATGGTTAAGGCTTGCGCTCTCGCACGAGACTTCCTCACAAGCTACCCAGGAAATCCGATATATATATATTATATATATATATATATATATATATATATATATATCTTTGCACTTGCGAAGCTCGCTCTGGTGCCCTGCTCGCCCAGCCCTCCCAGTAGTGCCCGCCCGACCCGACCCGACCCGCCTCTTAGGGTTCGCCTGGCCCGTTAGGGTCCGCCCGTTCGCCCGATTGGGCGGCCCACCCGCCCGCGCAAATGTCCCTCTCGCCCCTCCCGTGAAGGCCCCTATGCTTGGCCCGCTCGTCAGCGTCCGCCCGCCCGACCGTCTCACCTTCTCCCTCTCCCCCCCCTCCGCCTTCCTCCTCCCTCCCTTCCTCCCTGTCTCCCCCCTGCCTCCTCCTTCCTCCTCATCCTCCTCCTGCTCCTCCTGCTCCTCCTCCTCCTCCTCCTCCTCCTCCTCCTCCTCCTCCTCCTCCTCCTTTCTTCTTTCCCTCCCCCTCTTTCCCTCGCTCTCCCCATCCCCCTCCTGCCCTCTTCCCTCCTCCCCCCTCCTCGTCAGGTGTACGCTCGTGCGTCTGAGTGCCGCGCCCGTGTGCGCATCTGCGTCGCTTCGCCATTCCCGGGGGGCCGGGCGGTCGAGCGCGCGCCCGCGCCGCGTTTCTGCGGGAAGCTCTGGCGCTCTCTCTTCTTCGGACCTGCATCCTTCAAGGCAGGACAATCCATGCTCCATGCTCGATGCTCCTCCTTCTCCTCCTCCCCCTCCTCCTCCTCCTCCTCCTCCTCCTCCTCCTCCTCCTCCTCCTCCCCACAATGCTCCTCGTCCTCCTCCACCTCCTCCTCTTCCTCCTCCTCCCCCTCCTCCTGCTCCTCCTCCTTCTCCTCCTTCTTCTCCTCCTCCCCCTCGACATTATCCTCCTTCTCCTCCTCCTCCTCCTCCTCTCTTTGCGATCCTCATTATCCTCCTCCTGCTCCTCCTTCCCCTCCCATATCCCTACTTCCTCTTTCCCTTCTCCCCCACCATGGGCGTCTTCGAGGATGCTGAGGCGAGTGTACCATCCTCCATGATGTCCGTCGATTGTTCGACGGTCCTCGTCGTCGCCCCCTCGCCCGCGCCCCAACTGCCGGCTGCAGGTCTTCATCCTGCTCAATGCCACCGCCCGCCGCGATGCGGAGGGCAAGATCATGGGCGCGATGGGGGTCGGGCAGGACATCACCGAGCTGCGCAACGCGATGTCCGTGTCGCAGAGCGCCCTCGACGACCTCACTCGCCTGATCGACACGGCGAACGCCCCAATCCTCGGCGTCGACACGAACGGGCACGTGAACGAGTGGAACAAGAAAGCCGTCAACCTGACGCGCGTGGACAAGGATGTGGGCCTCTTCACCTCATCTTTGGTTCTCTCTCTATCTGTCTACCTATTTGTATCCCTTGATCTCTCTTTGTCGTCTGTCTTTCTCTCTCATCCCCCCCTCCCTCTCTTTCCCTCGTCTCTCCCGCCCTCATCTCTCGTGATCGGCTGATGGAAGTCACGCTGCTGCTGATGATGCAGTAATATGAGCAACCCTGCCACAGCGCACGGTGACGACGGCGATGATGGTGTTCGTCTGCTTCTCGCCAGAGGGCCCGGCGAGACGCAGCACAATCATCACGCGCCACCACCTACCCACCACAACAACCAGCCACCACCCGCGCACCTGCCCCGCCACAAACCCCTCACACCAAGCAGCAGCACCATCACCATCACCATCACCACCCGACCCTCACCTCAACTGGTACCATTCGCCACAAACCCTTACCACTACCCCACCACCGCCATCCGCTCCGCACCACCGCCAGCCAGCTGCAGTCGCCTCCAACCCACCACGTCCCAGCACCACCCACTACGCCCCAGCACCACCCACCGCGTCCGAGCACCACACACCCATCCACCACCACCCAGACCCCCAAGACCACCACAACCCGAGCCACCACCACGATCACCCTCCACCCTCGTCTGCTGCCACAAGTCCTCTCCCTCCCTCCACCATCACCCACCAACGCAACCACCACCATCCACCCATCACCACCACTACAATGCCCTCCCTCCACCACAACCCCCATCCCCACCACGACGCCCACAACCAATCACCGCACTATCCATCGCCATTTTTTGACGGTGATGATATTGCTGATGATGACGACGATGATGGTGACGACGACGATGACGATGACGATGACGATGACGATGATTAGGATGATGATGAGGATGATGATGATGATGCTGATGATGATGCTGATGATGATGATTATGATGATGATGATGCTGATGCTGATGCTGATGCTGATGCTGATGGTGATGATGATGGTCATGGCGATGGCGATGCCAAGCATTGTCATGATGAGGATGGTGAAGACGGTGATGACGGTGATGACGATGATGGTGCTGCTGCTTATGTTGATGACACGATGGCGTTTCTTTTTAGGACGACTGTTATGACGACGGTGGTGGCGGTGTCGAAGAGGGGAGGAGACAGAGGAGGATCAAAGTAACCCCAGGGTAGATCAACGAGGTTGCAGCCCTCCCGTTGCAAGTCCCCTCCTCAAAAGTCTCTACAATAATTTCTTTCCACTGCGAGAAGCGCACCCCTTGGATGACGAACGCCTGGTGGGCCTGTCACTCAAGCAATACCGAGTCTGTCAAGCATCTGTTTACATTTTCCAGACTGTAAGGAAGAGGCCCAGCGTGAGGAGGAGGAGGAGGAGGAGGAGGAGGAGGAGGAGGAGGGAGGAGGAGGAGGAGGAGGAGGAGGAGGAGGAGGAGGAGGAGGAGTAGGGAGGAGGAGGAGGAGGACTGAGGATGATCGGTTTCAAGGAAGTGCCCAGCGTGAGCCCCCTTTCGAAAAGGATCTCCCCTGCATCCGTGAACGCGTTGGACAATTTCAGAACGTTCTGTTGGTATAACCTGCCCAAGTCTCGAGCGAAAGCCCCATTTTAAACAGGATCTGCGCTTGACCAGTGTAGTTGTTTCACATTTTCGGCATTATGGGTCATCCAACCGGCCTCCTCCTTTGTATCCGTCGTGAGTTTTTACCACTTGTGTGCGCGGCTCCAATGCGAAAAGCGCTTTTCGAAAGCCATCGGTTCTCCATCCTTGTAGCTGTTGGAAGCTTTTTGAGCGAATGTGCGCGACGCTAAGGCGAGAGCCGCATTTTGAAAATCACTGGCCCTCCATTCTCGTAAATCTTGGGAACTTTCAAATCGAGCGTGTGCGGTGCTTGCGACAGAAGCAGTCTGAAAACGACTGGCCCTCCATTCGAAGTCTTGGATCTTGCATGATGGATGTGCGCGACGCCATGGCGAGAGGCGCATTCTGAGAACGTTCGGCCCTCCATCCTTGTAACAAGGGCGCCCTCGAGGGCGCGAAGTTATTCGCGCTTCGCGCTTCGCGACTCGGCTCCGATTCCTCCTCATTCTCCTCTTCTCCCCTGGGAGGCGGCGCGGGAGCGCGAAGTTCCTCGCACTTCGCGCAGTGCGAAGCGCCAAGCTGGGAGCCCTTGTTGTAACTGCTGGAGCCTTTCATTTCCCGGAAGATCGTCTGCCAAGAGATCTCGAGCAGCGCCAGGCCCGGCCTGAGGACACGTCTTGTGCTTCCATATCCACGAGGAGAAAAAACACACACACAATTAATCGTCGATTCCCCAGAAAAAATGGGAAAATATGGGCAGCGGGGGGAAGACATAGACACAGGAAATATGTGAAAATATCGGGAATCCTTCTATTTGTGTGTATTTATTTGTGTGTCCCAGGGCCCCCTGAGATATCTGGAGCGGGCGGCCATTCTTTAGGAAGAGGGATGGATTCGGTAGCAAGCCATGGGAGCCTCGTATACCCTCCTAATTCCGTTACCCGAGTGCACCCGCGACGATTGGCGCTTGGTAGCCGATGAGAGAGCGCCGATGTAGCGTAGACGAGCATCGGTTAGCTTAGACTAGCGTCGATCCGGCCTCGACGAGCATCGATTCTCGTCGATAAGCGTCGATTCGCAATAGCCATCAATGAGGTGTGGGAGGCTCCCATGAGTTGCCACCGAAGATGGAGAAACAGGAGGAGAAGGAGGATGAGGAGGAGGAGGAGGAGGAGCAGGAAGAGGAGGGCGAAGCGGGTGAGGAGGAGAAGGATAAGGAGGGGGAGGAGGAGGGCGAGGAGGGTGAGGAGGAGGCTCCCCTGAGCTGCCACCGAAGATGGAGAAACAAGCCTCGGTCCCATGGAGGAGCACATCCTGGGCAGGTCCCTGGTGACC